ATTACAGGAATTTATTTCACTATTATCACACTTATTTTAATGAATCCAGCCCTTTAAAGAGAATGTGTACATAAATATAGTCAGAAGGGCTCAATAACAATTCCACCTTAAAGCCTAAAGCCTGAACCCTCAGACTTAAGTTGACGTCACCTGGTAAATGTGAGTGCCAGAGGCTGTGAGGACCCAAATGATATAATGTGACTTTGTGATATGTCACTTTGCCTTGACAACGCCAAAACTTGTTATGGACAATTTTGGGACATTCTATTTTACATCTTTTACTTTCTTCTTAAAGTAACTGACTTTGCCTTACAGAGTGGACGAGAAGCAATTTTCAAATAATAAATTTACTTTTTCTTATCAAAACAGCATCATACACGACATGTAAACATCTTTTTTCTTGTAGTTGCTACTTCCCTTTTTGTTTACCTTCTTTTAACGCCTCTGGGCTTTCCCTGGTAACCCTGTGAACTGTGGGTTGTTGCTGTTTACAGTGGGACAGTCCTAAAGCCTTGTGGATTTACTTGGAGCGCGCCTCAAAGTCTGTGAGTGTGAGCACAAACCACCAGTATATCATGTGGGGAAAGTCACAGCTCACTAACACCAACACTTAAATGGACAACTTCAGCAGAGGAGCCAAGAAAGCATACAAGAGGTGGAGAAATCCTGAACTGAGGTAAAACAAACTAAAAAAATTATTATTTTATTTTATCTTTTGTATTTGCTCATATGTTTGTGATAAGCCCTCAGCACTGGGGTGCCAAAGGGTCGTGTTCTGAGTCCCATGCTGCGTTCTTTACACACATTTGACTGTATTTCCACATATCTCACAAACACAATAATTAAATTTTGCAGATGACACAACAGTGGAGGGAACACACTGCTCATAGCCTTTTACCACTGCTCCATTGTTTAAACACACTGTCTAACTACCTGGAATGTGAATTGTACAGGGACAGATCGCAAAAGTCTCCAGAGAGTCGTGAAAACTGCGGAAAAAATCAGTGGACTCACCCTGTCCTCTCTGGAGGACATCTTCAGGAAACTCTATTGGCAGAACTAACAACATCCTGGGAGATGCGACCCACCCCTGTCAACACCTAGGGTCTCATTTATAAACAGCATATGCACAAAAGAAGGCCTAGGCAGCCAACTTTGCGATTTATAAAAATACAAACCTGAGCGAGAATGTGCGGTCTTCCACGCAAACTCTGCGCCATACCTATGCACATACACTGGAGAAATGAGAAACGGCCACTCACACGGTAGGATGAAACGTTTGATTGTGTAAAATAAATCTCTAAGTATTATGGGCCAATAAAACTTCATTTGCAAAACAGATGAAAGCCTTTCTAAATAAACAAACATCTGTTTGATTGGTTTTCCCTGATGTGCGCAATAAACATAATTTGAAATAATTAGCAGTGTAAACAAAAATAACCATGATTTAGGAAAATAAAAACAAACTGAGATATCTGTTTTTGCAAAAGAAGGCCTCATGTATGTTGTAAAGTTTAATCATATTAATTAGGCCGATACTTGCATTCAGTGCAATTTATTCTCATAAATAAGGTTAAGAGTATGGCAAATTACATTTAAATTGATACCGTTATCGATGCCTCAGTCAAGTAAACAGGGGTACGTTATTATCACACGATATATTAGCCAAACGCCGTCGTGCGGCAGCATGTGGATGTGATGGATGGATGGAAAATAAAACATTATCTATTAAGCCAATGTTTCACTGTGCCGCTTGTGTCACGTAATATTTCTTTGAACCCACTGGCAGCCTCATCAAGTGAGTGGAGTGTTTGTGTAGCCTAAATGTTTAACAACAAAACAATCTGAAAGCTCGTGATTTTCGCTGTGCTCAACCGAGGGAATCCATATTATGTCCGCGTTTTCACTGTAATTTCTCAGAGGTACGCTCCTACAGATCGGTTTTCAAAGGAGTTGAGCTCACTGACTATTTATAAGCAACTGTGGGCGTTTAATAGGTGGGACAAGGAGCTCGCTTACAAGTTGATTGTGATTTATAAAGGGAAAAACGTGCGTGCGCACTGCTTTATTAATCAGAATATTTTTGTGCACTTCCTGTGTTTTGTCCGTAGGCAACCTGTAGTAGGCTCTTTCCTACATACAGTTTTATGAATGAGACCCCTGTTTTCTCTGTTGTCGTTTGGGAGGCGCTACAGAGCACTCAGCTCGCACCTCCAGAGTGAAGGACAGTTTTTGTCCAAGAGCCATCGCTGAACTCAACAAAAACACTGTCCCACCTTTGTGTCTTGAACTTTATGTGCAATAAGGGAACAACAGGTGCAACACTGCTTTCATGCTTTTAAATTGCTTTTTAACAGGCTTTGTTAACATATCTATTGTTTTAGGATGACTGTGAACAGGTGCATGTTTGAGCATTTATTTGTGTATTTACTTTCATAGTTGTGTTAGTGTTTTTTATTCAGACACAGCACAGAACATTTTGTTGTACATAAACTTGTGCAATGAAAATAAACTTGATTGATTCAATTATTGACAACACCTGAATTTGTCCTTTTGGTGTGTTGACATTTAGGGGTGATGCGAATGTTTTGGATCGCAGTGATGAGGACCGGGGCACAGACACTGAGATCTGCACTACAGCTTCTGCAAGAGTTGACTCAGGGCAAAGAGAGTCTGCATCTAGATCTGGATTTCATAAATCTGAAGGTTCATATTAATGCACATTTTGACACATTGTCTGTCTGCTGTGTTTGGAAATGTGGAGAATACACATCATCAAGGTGTCCTTTCAATATAAATGTAATCTTAGTCCACCTTGACTGTGCTTGTTTTTGTGAGGAAAAAGATGGGAGCCAATTTGCATATAAACTGTGGCAGAGATGTACATTGTAACAATGTAGATCAAAATGTACTTAAAGTTTCAAAAGTTTTCATGAAGCAGCAAAATGGCAGAATGATGAATGTGGTAGTTGGTAATGTTGAAGAAATTACGTACTGCTTTATATACTTTTGGGTGGTTTAATCCATCACAATGAATCATATTTGATATCTAAAGTTTTGTGTGAAAAGTTTAGATGTGAAAATTAACAAGTAACAATACTTGTGAAAAAATGTACAGGGGTACAAAGTACAACATTTCCCACTGAAATGTGATGGCGTAGAAGTACAAAACAGCATTAAATGAAATACTTAAGTGAAAATAGCTCAAAGATGTTAATTTAGTTACTTTCCACCGCAGTCTACCATTAACAATCATGAACTTGTCAGTTCTGTGACTGGAGCAATTCTGCATAGGTTTTTTTACAGGGGACAGTGGATTTGTAGTGACTCTCATGTCCCTTTTACAGAAACTTTTACAGTAGACGAGGCACTGGAGGCCATTGGTTTTGGAAAGTTCCAGTGGAAAATCACTTTTCTCACTGGACTGGCATGGGTAAGAATCCTAAAACATGCAGAAAGGTCCTCCCTCTGATTTCCAAATAATCTATGTCCCTCATGCAGCGCTCTGCCTCTCTGAGAGCAGGTAGGAGACTCCATGCAGTTATTGATCCTCAGTATCTTGGGCCCCCAGCTGCACTGTGAGTGGAGGCTACCCAGCTACAAGGTGGCTCTCACAACATCGGTAAAGTCCCATTAGGTCTTCTCAGTAAAGTGCTGTTGTACCGCTTGCTGAATTTGAATGTTTGCTCTCACATGTTGGCTCTCAAGGTTTTTATTTATTTATTTATTTTGCCTCAGGTAGTGTTTTTCGGGACGGCGATAAGTTCAGCTCTTTGGGGGAAGATCTCAGACAAGTACGGCAGAAAAGTAGTGAGTCACATATCTCTCTTTTTCATATATGGTTTAGAGACATTTGTACATAATTTTATGTTTAACTTTCTGTATATTTCTCTGTGGTAAACAGGGTCTGACAATTTGTTTGGCCTGGGCTCTGTACTACGGCCTGTTAAGTGCCATTGCTCCTGTGCATGGCTGGCTCTTGGTCCTGTGGAGCCTCATAGGCTTTGGCCTTGGAGGAGGTCCTCAGGTGTAAGTTCACTGCTTCCTCTGCAAGTGACAATTTGGAAGCTGCACTTAACAAACCGGCACATTTCTGCGAAATTATTTGCAACAACAACCATTCATCCTCTTTTTAGGGTGACACTGTACACAGAATTCCTCCCACGGAAGTCAAGAGGCACCTGCCTCGTGATGTTTAAGGTAGCCCACTGCTTGTGGTGGCATTGTTGTTGAAGGGTCATTTTGGTGTCTTTAAACATGGGCCCTATTTTCACATATTTTGGCAATGAAATGACAAGTAGGTACAAAAAGTTTTGAAATCTGCACAGTAGATGGCTACTGCCAGTTCAGTGGCTGCTACACATTTGGGCAACTGTGCCTGTCAAAATTACAGTAAATCCACCAAAACATCCTCTTTTTGCCATCGACAGACTCAAACTGTTATATGAGGTTTCTGACAGCATCATGGAAAGGATCCCTACAAGTGACTCCCAGTGAAAACCCTTGAAGTCATATTCAAGGAAAATTCAAGCTCTGACATCTCGTGAGAGGCAAGTTGGAGAGAGGAGTTGGTTGTCTACATAGAGGCACTGCTAACAAGACTTTCTTAATCATGACTGAATTTTTAGCTGATTTCAACAATGTAGAGGGGTCATTTGAATTTGTCCAAATTTATTTGAGCCACAGTATACGGATGAGGAGCTCCCAGAAATTGACTCTGACTCACATTTTTCTTTCTGCAACAACTCACCTCTCATAAGATTCCAGAGCGAGCAAGACTTCAGTTTCTGGTAAAAAAAAATAAATAAGGGGTGTTAGGATCCTTTCCATATTATTGTCAGACACCTGGTTCATGGCTGCTGGCTGAAGCAAAATACTGCACAGATTTCATCCATCCATCCATTGACCTAATGAAGTATACTGCTCACTGATTCCCTCCTGATTAATGTGTTTGTGTGCATCAGGTATTCTGGGCAATTGGTTGTGTGCTCGAGGTCCTCCTGGCATTGTTGATAATGCCCACTCTTGGCTGGAGGTGGCTGCTCGGCCTGTCCGTTCTACCAATGGCAGTCTTTGTTTGCTTCTGCCTTGTAAGTATTTTGGTGATTAATACAGATCCTTAAAATAAAATCATCTGGAGTCAAACTCTCAACTGAATTTTCACAGTGGCTGCCTGAAAGTCCTCATTTTGACATGCGTGCGGGAAGAACAGAGAAAGCCATGGCACTGTTAACGCGCATCGCCAAAGAGAATGGCAAGGCCATGCCTCAAGGGAAAATGATTACATATTTACAGGTGAAGTCACAGATATTTGAGTCTATGTGTTTGTTCAGAAAAATGAGCTGTGAGTACAATGCAATGCTTAATCACTGATATTCATGAATACACCTTATATTTTATCTTTTTAATCTCACAGAATGACCGTGGACGGGTCAAAGATCTCTTTACTCCTCAGTATTGGAGGACTACACTTCTTCTGTTGTATATATGGTTAGCCTGAGTAATATATTTTCTACTGTGTCCTTTCTATCAATACACAAAACATAAAGTGATAGCCACTGGGGCCCATAGCTGAATTTTCTCCCAGGGTCCACTAGCAGGTTAATCTGTCCATATATTTCATGCTTTCAACTTTTACACAATTTAGCTTGTAGATCACAGCATTGTTTATTTTATCCAAAGGTTTGCAATTGCCTTCTGCTACTACGGGATAGGCCTGTTGACAACTGAGCTGTTTCAAACTGGACATTCATGTGAACGTAAGTAACAGCTGCTCCATGTGAATCAGCTTGTAACTTTTGTCATTTTGTGTCTTAAATTCGAACAAATACCAAGACAAAACTGTCCTTCCTTACAGCAACCATAGGGGCAAATAATGAACTGAGCTGTAGTCTGGAATGCAAATATTTGACATCAGCTGACTACACAGACCTTTTATGGACGTCTATGGCTGAATTCCCAGGTAAAATGTTCGCTATTAGCATTTTCTCAGAGGTGGGTGTGTAATTGAAACTGTAAGGTAAAGACCTTCATGATGCTGTTGGCAGGAACAGTATTAGTGTTCCTCTGTATCTCTTAATTATCCATCCATATCAAAAATCTGAGACAACATGGATATGATTTCTGATTCCTCTCTGAGAAACCATAAGACCAGGTCATCTGTAAAGCCATGAAATGTATAAAGTTATCTAATTTATATTTACATGTTTTTGAATTTGAATTTCATGAAAAAACAGTTTTAAGTTACTTTGGGTTTGTTGATAGAAGCTCAGTTTGTCACTAGCCTGCAGTAATTAGCCTAAGGAGAGTGAGATACACAAATGTGTTGTTTAAGGGAGTCTGTCTGTTGGCCACAGCATTTAAAATATATGTTTGCTGTTTGTTTCAGGTTTTTTCTTTATTCTTATAGCAATTGACCGTATTGGCAGGAAAAAGACCCTTGCTCTGTGTTTCTTCACATTATCTTTGTGTTTTCTGCCCTTATTTGCGTGTATTGGGAGGTAAGTTTGTCTCTGTGTTATTTTGTCATTGCAATATATTAAAACACCTATATCTATATATCACCTATATCTCAAACTCTGTGCCTCTCTTTCGGTTCATGCAGGACAACTCTTACAATCTTCATCTTTATTGGCAGAACCTTCATATCTGGAGGATACCAAGCTGCTTTTATTTACACAACAGAGGTAGGTCTACATACAATTTTACCAGTTTAACGTTAAACATATTTTTAGATCATTCAAAGCGGACAAAATGTTGCCTCATCTCTGTCATTAGGTGTTCCCTACAGAAAACAGAGCCTTAGCACTGGGGATTTGCAATGGGGTGTCGAAGGTGGGGGCCCTGATTACCCCCTTTGTGGCACAGGTATGCAGAAGTAACAATCTCTTTTGGGCCTTCCCAAAGAAACTCTTTAAAACCTCAAAAGCATTGGAGAAACGACCATTAGAAACTCTAGAAGTAAATTCTTTGTTTGATCTAAGTTGAAAGTTGAGTGATTCAACATTACTTCAGAACCCACTCAATTCGGTATATCTTGCTCTGAGAGTGTTGGACAGGCAGATCGTAGTCATCAGTGATGCTATCACAAAGTAGTGTTGTTAGTAGTAATGTTATTGGAATAACAGTTTGCTTATCAACACTGTAACTCTAACTCAACTTATATGTTGGGAATTGATGGTCTGACAAAATTCTTGTTATTAGCTGTGATCATTTTGGAGAGGGATTTTGTATTGCAGGTTTAAATGTGGAATTTAGTTCTAGCACCAGTTTGATATCAGACTCTTTCAGATTAGGCATTATGTTTCTCTGCCTGGTTCCTCAGTTTTTGTGTTTTGATTGTAGGTGATGCTCGGGATATCACAGTACTTGACCCTGTCCATATACTGTGTTAGTGGTCTGCTGGCCGGCGTTGCATGCTTGAACCTGCCAGTTGAGACATTGGGCAGGGGTCTGCCGGATTCCAGTCTTTACCAGGAGGCTGGAGAGCAGACTGCCACCACAACCAGTCAGCCAAATGGCACAACAGACTCCTCGGACCAGAGGTAGACCAGAGAGGGGGAATGAAAAAGTGGAACACAATATATAGTATAGTATTTAGTCAACTCCCAGGCTGCTGCAGACACCAAAGTTGCCTGTTTAACTATGAACTGAATCCTCTGAGTGCTGACGGATGAAGAACAACAGGAGACAATCTCATTAGAGGCAGGAAGTGTTCATTTGCCTACTTCCTAATGAGAACATAAGCACACTTGTGCTTGGACTGGTTTGTTACCCTCTCTTCCAGGCTGTGAGAAGCAACAGAGAGCACTATGGAAAATGAGGATGCACTGTGCAGACTCAGATCAGAGCTACACATTTCAAGCCGCGCAACTGAGACTTTTATTTTACAAATTTTGGATAAAAATGACTCATTAAAGTTGTTCAATATGCTTCAGACTCAATTTTCTTATCAGTGTATCTTAGAATTGTAATTTGTACAATAAAAGATGCATGTTCTCTTATTATGGTTCTACATTTCTCAAATGTAGCATGGTGAGTGGGTGACAAAAAAATGAGTCAATAAAATCCAGACATTCTTTTCAAAAAGGGGAAAAGTAGTTTTTACTTATCACTTTTTTCACTTAAGTTTGTTTTTATATTGATGCAAGTTGAATGTCTGAGCTATACTACTGATTAAAAAAAGCATTGTTAGAACTACTGTGAGCATGAACACACTTATTTCACAAATCTTTGAGATGCATTAGTGTTCAATGCTGTATTAACTCCATAAAATGACAGTGCCTAAATACATTGCCTTACCGTATGATAAAATACAGTATATGTATAATAAAGAAAGATTGCAGTACTTTCAGTATTCTGTCATATTGACATGATTTGGTCAATCCTCTAAATCCTCAAAATTAGTGTAATATTGAAGTTAGATACCCAATCCTAATGATAACAGAAAACTGGTTTCTTGAGCATCTCCTTCACTTTGGAGTAATTTCATGCACAGTACACACACTTAAAGTCTCAACATCTGATAAGCAATCTTGTTTCTAAATAGCAAAGTTGGATCAAAACATGTGCTTGATTCACCTTTTCTTCAAATAAAATGTTTCAGTCACAGTTAGTCCCAAAGAACTAAACTTTCAGCTAATCCTTTATTTATTTGAGCAAACAGACTGCTGTTGTTGGGGGCATGAAAGTACAGCATCACAAAGCCGGCTGTTTTAGTGACTTGTGCAAATGGTATTTTAAAAATCGACTGATAGGACTACAATATCTTGGCATCCTCCTTTTAAGAAATCAAGTCTTACTTTTGAGTCCATGTCGTAGTTCTTGGGTTGTTCTGTGAGAGTCTGGCCAAGCAGCTGATGTGACCAGAGGACGTGGAGACAGAGGGATGTGTTGTACATTAGAATCAGAATCTGCTTTATTGCTTTAAGTGTACACATACAAGGAATTTGACTTTGTACATAACACTAAACATAAAGTTTATAAATATTAAAATACTAAATGCAGATAAGATATAAAACATAAGAATAATTGTTACGTGGGTGGTGTGATGTGGGGACAGAGAGGACCCAAACGCAGAACTCTGAGCGAAGGAGGTTTATTTAGGAAAAAGGGGGGTTGAGGGACTGGAGTGCAGGGAAAGGAGGATGCCGGGGAAACAGTGGCACAGGGAAGCCGACGGGATGGGAACCAGGGAGCCGGGCAACACTGGGGCCAAGGAAGGGAGGATGCCGTGGGGGAAGCCCGAAGAGGAGAGGTCCGGAGGTGAGTGAACCTGGGAGGGAACCAGACGGAGAGACAGGGTTAGAGATAACGGAGACAAAGCACAGGGAAAATGTGAGAAAACAACAAACATGAGAGCCTGAACAAAGAGGTGGCACCAGGTATGGAGCAACGACGATCAAGCAAGAATGGTGTGGAGGACCGGGGTTGAAATACAGGCAGAGATGAGGTTGACTAGTGGCAGGTGTGGCAGACTGACGAGGTGGCTGATGAGGTGCAGGTGCGGGTCGTTGGCTGGGCTCTGGAGCAGAGGGAGAGAGAGCACACACAGGGAGGCAGGCAGGGAACAGAAAATCAAGGGAAAAGCAGAATAACTGATAAAAAGGAGAAAAAAAACCAGGACACCCAGTACTTGTAAGTCCCACTGGATAAGAACATAAGCTAAGAGCCATATTTAAAGGGATGAGGAGAGATTGATAGGCTACAGTTTGGTTTACCTCTGCTGGTAAGATTTGTGTTTGCAATTAAATTATTGACTAATAAAAAGAAAACATTCACTGGCTTGATAGTTTGTTGCCTTGTAGGCTACTAATAGCACCATTTGGTTCCCTGTTGTTCTTCCCTGTGTTTTTTTTTCTTTTTTTTTTTTTTTTTTTTTTTCTGATTGGGTGTCCCACTTAAACCGGAAGTGCATGAACAGGTTCGACCAAACCACTGGTGTATGGTGTGGAGAAAGTCACAGCTCTCTAACACCATACCTGAAATGGACAAGTGGAGCAGCCGAGCCAATAAAATGTACAAGAGGTGGAGAAATCCTGAAGAGAGGTAAAACAAAATTATTTTATTCTTTTATCTTTTGTGTCCTCATGTTTGATAGTTTGATACTTAAAGGGAACGTTCTCTGAGAGAAACCTGCTGTTTACAATTTGAAATCAAAATTTTATCGAAATCACTATATGGCCGTATACAGCAATTTTAAAATCGCAGGAGGCACAATATTTGGTTATGTGTGTCGTGATGCAAAGATGTCCTGGCCTCCACATAATAATCTAGAGATTTAAGAACAGGGCATTGTTTGGTTTAATAAATTTTTCAATTAAAATGAGAATATTGATGTAAAAATGATAATTCCCCATGGTATTGCATTGCAATTGCAACATCTGGAAAAATAATGGCAATTAAGTATTTTTTTTTCAAAATCGTTCAGCCCTAATACCAGAGGGTTTCCACAGGGCTATGTACGTCCATACTTAGGCAAATCAGCTTTGTGACAAAGTGATCAATTGTACTTTAAATTCAACCTTTTGTGCTTAACAATGCCTGAATGTGTCGTTTTGGTGTGTTGACATTTAGGGGTGATGCAAATGTTTTGTGTCCCAGTGATGAAGACCAGGACACAGACACTGAGATCTGCACTACAGCTTCTGCAAGATTCAACTCAGGGCGAAGAGAGTCTGCATCCAGATCTGGATTTCATCTAACTGAAGGTTTGCAGAATTGTTTGCAAACGGATAGTCTGAGTCCTTCCTGACTGTGCTTGTTTTGTGATGAACAGGTGGGAGACAATTTGCATATAAACTGGGGATGAGATGTACACTGTAGCAGTGTATATCAGCTGATCAAAATGTAAAGTATCAAGTTAAAGTATTCATTATGCAGCAGAATGGCAAAATGAATGTGGTAGTTGGTCATGTTGAAGATCGTGTAAGTCTTACTTTGAAAAGTAGCAAGTTATTTGTAAAAAAAAAAAAAAAAAAAAACTGTAGTGGAGTAAAGTACAATATTTACCATTGTAGTGGAGTATAAGTCTTAAATGGAAATACTTACAGTATCTCGCAAAAGTGAGTACAACCCTCACATTTTTGTAAATATCTTTTCATGTGACAACACTGAAGAACTATGCTACAATATAAAATAGTGAGTGTACAGCTTGTTTAACAGTGTAAATTTGCTGTCCCCTCAAAATAACACATCACACAGCCATTAATGTCCGCTGGCAACAAAAATGAGTACACCCCTAAGTAAAAATGTCCAAGTTGGGTCCAAAGTGTCAATATTTTGTGTGGCAATCATTATTTTCCAGCACTGCCTTAACCCTCTTGGGCATGGAGTTCACCAGAGCTTCTCTTCTCTTATTTGGTTCAGACGCTTGACACCGTCTGACCCAAATAAGTTTATCTTTGTCTCATCAGACCACAGGACATGCTTCCAGGAATCCATGTCCTTAGTCTGCCTGTCTTTAGCAAACTGTTTTCAGACTTTTTTTGTGCATCATCTTTAGAAGAGGCTTCCCTTTGGGATGACAGCGATGCAGACCAATTTGATGCAGAGTGTGGCATATGGTCTGAGCACTGACAGGCTGACCCCCCCCACCCCTTCAACTTCTGCAGCAATGTTGGCTGCACTCATACGTCTATTTCCCAAAGACAACCTCTGGATATGACGCTGAGCATGTGCACTCAACTTCTTTAGTCGACCATGGTGAGGCCTGTTCTGAGTGGAACCTGTCCTACTGAACCGCTGTATGGTCTTGGCCACCGTGCTGCAGCTCAGTTTCAGGGTCTTGGCAATCTTTGTGGAGCAACCATTCTTTTTTTCAGATCCTCAAAGTTATTTGCCATGAGGTGCCATGTTGAACTTCCAGTGACCAGTATGAGGGAGTGTGGGAGCGATAACACCAAATTTAACACAACTGCTCCCCATTCGCACCTGAGACCTTGTAACACTAACGAGTCACATGACACGGGAGGGAAAATGGCTAATTATGCCCAATTCATCACATTTTGACTTAGTAGTTTACTCTCACTTTTATTGCCAGCGGTTTAGACATTAATGGCTGTGTGATGTGTTATTTTGAGGGGACAGCAATTTTACACTCTTATACAAGCTTTACACTCACTACTTTACATTGTAGCAAAGTGTCATTTCTTCAGTGTTGTCACATGAAAAGATATAATCAAATGTGAGGGGTGTATCCACTTTTGTAAGATACTGTAAATACAAATATGCTCAAATGTTAAGTACAGTATTTAGTTAGTTTCCACCACTGTCTACCATTTAACAATCATGAAGTGATCGATTTGCGATTCTGCGTTCGTTTCTTTACAGGGGACCGTGGATTTGTAGTGACTCTCTTGTCCCTTTTACAGAAACCTTTACAGTAGACGAGGCACTGGAGGCCATCGGTTTTGGAAAGTTCCAGTGGAAAATCACTTTTCTCGCCGGACTGGCGTGGGTAAGAATCCTGAAACATGCAGAAGGGTCCTCCCTCTGATTTCCAGATATATTATCTCATGCAGCGCTCTGCCTCTCTGAGAGCAGGTAGCATACTCCATGGAGATGATGATCCCCAGTATCTTGGGCCCCCAGCTGCACTGTGAGTGGAGGCTACCCAGCTATAAGGTGGCGCTCACAACATCGGTAAAGTCCCATTAGGTCTTCTCAGTGGGAAGTGCTGTTCTACAGCTTGTTGATTTTGAAAAGTGTGAAAATGTTGGCTCTCAATTTTTATTTATTTTTTGCCTAAGGTGTTGTTTCTTGGGTTGGGGATCGGTTCAGCTCCTTGGGGGAAGGTCTCAGACAAGTACGGCAGAAAAGTAGTGAGTCTCGTATCTGGCTTTTTCATATAAAGTTTATGGGACTTCTGTACATAATTTGATGTTTGACTTGTCTTTTCTGTATTTTTCTCTGTGGTAAACAGGGTCTGACGATTTGTATGACCTGGGCTCTGTTCTACGGCCTGTTGCGTGCCATAGCTCCAGTGTATGGCTGGCTCACGGCCATTTGGGGCTTTGCAGGCTTTGGCATTGGAGGAGCTCCTCAGACGTAAGTTCATGGCTTCCTCTCCATGTGTCGCTTCGAAACCTGTACTGAACAGACCAGCACATTTTAATAGCTGTGAAATTATTTGCAACAAACATTCAGCCTCTTTTTAGGGTGACACTGTACACAGAATTCCTCACAGGGAAGTCGAGAGGCACCTGCCTCGTGATGTTCCAGGTACTAAAGTGGTTTTGACTTTCACAGTATTCAAGTGTTGAGTCTGACCTAATGAAGTATACTGCTCATTGATTCTCTCCTGATTAATGTTTGTGTGCATCAGGCATTCTGGGCAATTGGTTGTGTGCTCGAGGTCCTCCTGGCATTATGGATAATGCCCACTCTTGGCTGGAGGTGGCTGCTCAGCCTGTCCACTGTACCAATGGCAGTCTTTGTTTGCTTCTGCCTTGTAAGTATGTTGGTGATTAATACAGATCCTTAAAATAAAATCATCTGGAGTCAAACTCTCAACTGAACTTTCTGTTAAACAGTGGCTGCCTGAAAGTCCTCATTTTGACATGCTGACGGGAAGAACAGAGAAAGCCATGGCACTGTTAACGCGCATCGCCAAAGAGAATGGCAAGGCCATGCCTCAAGGGAAAATGATTACATATTTACAGGTGAAGTCACAGATATTTGGGTTTATGTGTTCAGAAAAAGGAGATGTGTGCACAGTGCAATGCTTTATCACTGATATTCATGAATACACCTTATATTTTATCTTTTTAATTTCACAGAATGACCGTGGACGGGTCAAAGATCTCTTCACTCCTCAGTATTGGAGGACTACACTTCTTCTGTTGTATATATGGTTAGCCTGAGTAATATATTTTCTACTGTGTCCTTTCTATCAATTATCATTAATCAGCTAATTTGATTAAAGCTAATTATTTAATCAACGCTGGACTACCAACCAGTCAAAGAGGACAACTGCTTTAGAAAACTCCAAGTTCACTAGGTGTCAGTAGGTTTGTGGTCATTTTACTATGTGCAGATTTGTCTGGGATTACACACTTAAATACAGTATGAACAAATGGTGGTGATGGAAGTGTGGATAGGACACATGCCTTTGGTGTAAGAAACCTGGGTTCAATTCCCCACCGTGACCCATCCAGCAGTGTGTCTTGGAGCAAGACACTTAACCCCTAGTTGCTCTGGAGGCATGCATCCTCTGATATAGCAATTGTAAGTGGCTTTGGATAAAAGTGTTAGCTAAATAAATTAATGTAATGAACTGTTTTACAGTCTTAAGACTTTAATAAAATAATTCTGAAATTGTAGTCTGTGTGCACTGTACATGATGGCCAATTGGATGCATGTGAACAAACAGAATACACAGAGTAAGAGCCACTGGGGACCATAGTTGGGTTTTTTTTGTTTGGTTTTTTTTCTCCCACGGTCCACTAGCAGGTTAATCTGCCCATATATTTAATACTTTATTTTCAGCTTTTACACAATTCAGCTTGTAGATCACTGCATTGTTTTGTTTTCTTATCCAAAGGTTTGCAAATGCCTTCTGCTACTACGGGATAGGCCTGTTGACAACTGAGCTGTTTCAAACTGGACATTCATGTGAACGTAAGTAACAGCTGCTCCATGTGAATCAGCTTGTAACTTTTGTCATTTTGTGTCTTAAATTCGAACAAATACCAAGACAAAACTGTCCTTCCTTACAGCAACCACAGGGGCCAAGAATGAACTGAGCTGTAGTCTGGAATGCAAATATTTGACATCAGCTGACTACACAGACCTTTTATGGACGTCTATGGCTGAATTCCCAGGTAAAATGTTCGCTATTAGCATTTTCTCAGAGCTGGGTGTGTAATTGAAACTGTAAGGTAAAGACCTTCATGATGCTGTTGCCCGGTACAGTATTTAGCCCATATACAGGGTGTTCCTCCATATTTCTTAGTTATCTATCCATATCAAAAATCTGAGACAACATGGATACAATTTCTGATGGATTTTGAAATGTATTAATGGAATTTGACCAAATTCCTCTAAGAAACTATAAGATCAGGTCAAACTTTTAAAGGTTTTAACAAACACATCTGTAATGCCATGAAATGTGGTGCACATGCTGTAGAAAGCTATCTTATTTATATTTACATGCTTTTGAACTTGCCTTTCTTGAAAAAACAGGTTTAAGTTAACTTAGGTTTGTTTATAGAAGCTCAGTTTGTCACTACCCTGCAGTACTAAGCCTAAGGAGAGTGAGATACACAAATGTGGTGTTTAAGGCGGTGTGTCTTATGCCTGCAGCATTTAAAATTTATGTTTGCTGTTTGTTTTTCATGTTTGTTTCAGGTATTTTAGTTATACTTATCGCAATTGACCGAATTGGCAGGAAAAAGACCCTTGCTCTGTGTTTCGTCACATTTTCTTTGTGCTTTCTACCCTTATTTGCGTGTATTGGGAGGTAAGTTTGTCTCTGTGTGTTATTTTGTTAAATAGCCATATATTAAAACTAGCAGACTGATCTCAAACTCTGTGCCTCTCTTTCTGTTCATGCAGGACAACTCTTACAATCTTCATCTTTATAGCCAGAGCCTTCAGCACTGGAGCAAACCAATCTGCTTTTATTTACACAACAGAGGTAGGTCTACATACTATTTTACCAGTTTAACCTCAAACATAGTTTTAGATCATTCAAAGTGGAGAAAATGTTGCCTCCTCTCTGTCATTAGGTGTTCCCTACAGAAAACAGAGCCTTAGCACTGGGGATTTGCAGTGGGTTGAACTCCATGGGTGCCCTGATTACCCCCTTTGTGGCACAGGTATGCAGAAGTGACTATCTCTGTTGGTATGAGAAATGACAGTTTGAAACTTGACAAATTGCAAGTTAAGTGATTCAACATTATTTCAGAACCCACTAGTGTTTTTTTAAACACCGCAATTTAAAAGTCAGGATCCTCCAGGCTGCATGTCGAAGTGTCCTTTGTACTGAATCCCGAATTGGTGGCTGTTCCACCAGTGTATGAATGTGTTCATACACGTGTGTGAATGTTAGTTTGTGTTTGAGCACTTAGGCTCAGTGTATGAATGTGAGTGAATGTTAAAAGCTGAATGTAAAAGCGCTTTGAGTGGTTGAAAAGACTAGAAAGGCGCTATACAAATATGGAGCATTTACATCTTAAAATTGGAGAAATAATGTAGTCAGTATGCAACAGCAACATGAAGAACTGTTCAAAAAAACTAAATGTCAAACAATGTGAAAGGTTTAACTGTATTACTGTAAACCCTTCAAACAATGCAATGCGTTGTCCAGCGTAGCTGCAATCATCATCAATTTCTTAAATGCATTACATCAGTTTATACAAGTTATGTAGTAAAATCATACTTTAAGCCCTGGGAATTTCAAGGTGCCCTATGGCGTTTTCTCATCAACAAACTTGTGTTTACATTTAGCGTTATTCACCAGAATGCATTGTGTATCTGTGAAGTCTAACAAACATGTTGACAAGATTATCTTCCTCATTAAAAGGGCTCTATATAGTCTTTAATGAAATCGCTTATCAATTAAACCCTTTCAATTGCCTATTTGGAAATGGGTTGTAACCTCGCATAAAAATGAACCACATGGCTGCTTTCTCAGTCCCTTGGGATGTGAAGAAATCGGGTCGGATTTTCTCCGTAGGCTCTCCTGAGCCTCCTGTCTACTGATTCTGAACTGTACACACAGCGACAACACCGCAGCTAACGGATTACAGTCCGCTTGCACCAAAAAACAACCAGCTCCCAATACAGACACGAACATAAACTCCACAAGCAGGAAAAAACTGAGAATCACATTGACACCTGGTGGAAACAAGGTCAACATCAGAAAGCCGTTTGAGTAAGAGTATACTAACCTTACTGCAAAGCATGTAAAATACGTTGTGATTTTGTGCTTTAGTTGGCTCAAGTTAGATAACATTAGCTTGCCAGCTAAAGTCAACCAGTTGCTAACGTCATCCGTTGCAAAATACTACAGTTGTACGGTTTCCACATAACTTCACCGGCTGGTGCCATCCATATTACTATCTTGTGTACCAACAGTATCATAGCAAAGAGTTGATTTGAGCCTGAAGTCATGATTTAACAGAACAAAGCAAATGTGGGGATATTTGTTTATACTAGCCATTTAGTAAAGCATCCAGATAAGTTAGCATGGATCTTGCTTCATTAAGTTCAATTTTGATTAATCATTGTCTTACCGATTCTTCAGCGGTCTCAGTCGCTGTAACTTATGTGACATAATATGAATCAATGTAACATAATACACAGTGGAAGAAGTATCCATTAAGTTACAGTAATGTTTCTTACTGCGGTTTAACTGTTATACTAAAGTGTGGCAACAATCTAATTTATAATATTCAGTCTAGCCGTTTTTGTTATCACCCAATTCATTTTAGCTATGCTCAAATTACTGAGCCTCTCTCGTAAAAGATAATGCTGACGTATCTAGTCGGCTAAACACAGTTATGTAGCATTATCATGTAACGAGCATGGATTAGTTCAACATCAAGCTGATAAAAATAGTATTGTAACGTTGCAGAAGGTTACCTGAGTTTCCAGCATTTTATGTGATGCTGTCTCTGTTTGCAATCTGAATCCTCACTGCTAGAAGCCACTGAAAACTACACATTTAAATATTTTTCTTTAAAAAACCTGTATTGTTTACTTCCTAGCAGTTTTCTTCTTCTCTGCCTTTGTTGCTGATTGTTTCAGACTCTTTGTACACTTACTAGAGATTAGAGTGCTAAATGATATATATGATGACTGTAACCAACTTTATTGTTAGTTCTCAGTGATCCTATATATATATATTATAAGGAAGTTAAACATGTTATGGAAGATATGGCATATCAACACTGTAACTTTAATATTCCGGGAATTGATGGTCTGACAAAATTATTGTTAGCTGTGATCATTTTGGAGAGGGATTTTGTATTGCAGGTTTAAATGTGGAATTTAGTTCTAGCACCAGTTTGATATCAGACTCCTTCAGATTAGGCATTATGTTTCTACACTTGGTTCCTCAGTTTTTGTGTTTTGGTTGTAGGTGTTGCTCGGAATATCACGGTACTTGACCCTGTCCATGTACTGTGGCTGTGGTCTGCTGGCTGGTGTTGCATGCTTGAACCTGCCCATTGAGACGTTGGGCAGGGGTCTACAGAATACCAGTCTTTACAAGGAGGCCGGAGAGAAGACCATCACCACACCCAGCCAGCCAAATGGCACAACAGACTCCTCCGACCAACAAAGGGGAACAAAAAAAAATTAAAAATTAGAAACTCTCAGGCTGTTGTAGAAGCCAAAGTTGCCTGTTTAACTATGAACTGAATCCTCTGAGCAATGATGGGAGAAGAACAACAGGGGAGAATCTCATTAGAGGCAGGGAGTGTTAATTGAGGGTAGGCCTACTTCCCATGTCTAATGAGACCGGAAACACACTTGTGCTTGGACTGGTTTGTTACACTCTTCCAGGCTGTGAGAAGCAACAGAGGGACACTATGGAAAATGAGGATGCACTGTACAGACTCAGATCAAAGCTACACATTTCAAGCCGCGCAACTGAGACATTTATTGTATACATTTTGGATTAAATGAATTGTTTATATATGAAGCCACATTTTACTATTAAAGTTGTTCAATCTGTTTTAGGCTCATTTGTTGTCAGTGAATGTCAGTATTTGCACTATGACACATTTTCTATTATTATGGCTGCCTCTGAACTGCATGAGTGGATGACTGAAAACTAATGGCAACTATGATAAAATCCATCAAAATGAGATAGGGGTTTTCTTTGTCTTAAAATTATGATGATTTTGACTTTGGGGTTACAGACTTCATTACATATATACACTGTCTCCTCTACATGTCTATATCCTCAGTGTGCTTCATTATTATAAACTGAACTGGTTGTGGGTCACATCTCTCTCTTCCAGGTGACTTCTTTATTGTGTGTTATATTGATATGAGTATTTACTTTAATGATCAGAGAGACAGCTGTGCTGTCAGTCATTTCCATGCAGGCAGTAAAGTCACAGCAAAAATTGTGGGAAGTTTAAGCAGCTTGATAGGACAGAGGAAGATCCTCAGAGAAAACGGAATTAAACTTTGAGCTTCTACATTTTTAGACGGCTCTGATGGTGCTCAGAATTTATCAGGAGGACGGCTGCTTCACTCCAAACAGTTTCACTGTATGAACCTGGACTGTGTGTGAGACCTTTTCGATGTGTAGAAGAACAAAGAACATTAAGATTATCCTGACCGATCATGTTGGCGTGTAGGGAGACTTCAATAATCAACAATGAAGTTATGCTGCTTTGTCTTGAGCGTAAATGCGCACAGCGTCTCTCCTAATGGGAAGACTTCACCCTATTTCATCCACCCTCCTGATCCGCGGATGATAATATGCAGGCGCATCTTACCATGTGAATTATGCGGCCTTTAGGAAAATACTGCACCATTGACTTTACTCCAGGTTTTTGCTGATCAATGGCACAATTGCTTTCTGTTGCCTCAAGATGGAAATATCAACAATGCGCCTGACCACACCTAATCTTAAGGGCGCACAGATGGGAGTAAGTAGCCTAAGCCTACTTAACGTGGGCGCTGGGCGTGAAAAAAAATGACACGTTTGTCGGAAACTGACACTTTCGCTGCGCTGTGCGTCGCTTTGCGCCTGGTAATATTGTGACGGGCATTTGTTGCGAAATTGTTTTCTGGTGGCAGACTATCCTATACCTACAGACCAAACAATTAATTGAGAAGATGATGGATGAGCAAATAATCGATAATGAACATAGGCTAGTCGTTAGTTGGTAGCCTACCCTACTTTACATCATTACGTCAACCTATCTCCGTTTCATAATACTATCAGAATATTATTTCATCAACATTTGTATTTGGGAGTTTCTAGTCTGGCCAGTCACCTTGACAACATTGGCCCAATGACAGCGCACACGCGAACTAGGCCAGCCAATCACAGGCATCCGACAAAGCTGCATGTCATTTCTGCCCCGCTTGCAACCTGCACCGTGTTTTGTTTGTCTGTCTGCGCACCAGCGATGAAATCACGGGGTCCGCTGCTGGCTCGGTACAAGCGGAGGAAATCTCTCCTGACTTCCCGCTCATGAGGACTCAGGTAACCGCAGAGGACGCTCGGAGCAGGACCGAAAGGGAGCACCGCCGTGGATCTGGAGTCAGGTGCTGCTGGATGAGAGTCTGACTAGGCATTTTTTCCCCGGTGACAGAGACAATCTCAGCGGCGCATCTTCCCACAACCTCCTCCCCTCCCTTCTCCTCTCCTCCTCTGCTGCCCTCCAAGGCTGCAGCCCACCGACCATGGCCCTGGTGACTCTGCAGCGCTCTCCCACCCCCAGTGCAGCATCCTCGGCCAGCACGACAAACAGCAGTGCGGGGGAGGTGAGTATAAAAGCTGGGGCTCGGTCTTTGTGTGAATGCCCGTACCAATTTTGTTTAAGAGGCAGTAACCTTACTTCCGTCATCGCTGTGCGTGTTATTATCTTGATATAGGCTACTGTTGCATTGTTACAGCAGAGAGTTGTTTGTGGCTGCTGTGGCAGCGGATTTGTCAACAGAATCCTTCACGGGAGGGGGACGCTGCTGCTGGGTTTAGCTGTCAGAACAAAGTGCTCATTTTGCTGCTGCACAAACATTTGCTGCGTTGCACCCAGGTTGTTCAGCCTCCTTGTTATTGGCTTTTTATTTGCAGCCTCAATGTTTGGGAGGAGACTTTAAAGGGGAATTACCTCAGTTTTCAGTATTATGTACAGTGTGTGCCCCAGGACCGTTAAGTCAAGTGTTCACGAACAGGCAGACATATAAGAGAAACACTTCTGATGATTACTGAGGTATACAATCAAATGCTATGAAATGTTGTAAGAAATGCCATCAGGCAACTTGCCAGAATTTGACCAGAATGCAACACCTCACACAAAAATCTTGCCAGTCAATTCAGTATTTTACATCACATTTCCATTATGATTTGAAGGACTAGGTTATGGGTTTGGGTTTTTTTTTTTTTTTTGTAGTTTTAGAAATCTACAGTCAGGTTCAGCTCCTGACAGTGATAGCCTACGTAATATTGACTTTGTGGAGTTTTAGGCTGTGAAGAAAACATTGAAATCCTATTTGCAAAACGAAATCTTAGCGACAAACAAAGGCACTCAATTAAATATGGAGTAATGTCAGATCTGACATCCCAATGAAATTATAACATCAGGGCAAGGGCTCCAGTTTCTAGTTTTAGAAAAGTGGATTACGTGCTCTGAAGTAGGCTGACTGAAAAAATAAGCAGCGACATTCCTCCTCGGATGATGAGGTGGGTTTTTAATATCACTTTCTGCATTACAGCTCACTAGTCTGCAAGAGTCAGCCAAAAGGCAGGACAAGTGGATGGGTGGGATGTTTGGATGTGTTTTTTTGCTGAACTTGTGCTGTTTGAAGGTGTCTTAATGATTGAGCTGTCGGCTCTACAGGACGTTCATATCAGATGAGATTGCAACATTAACAAGGGAGGACCAGCAGTTGGCGCTGGCACACTATATTGCACCCTCCTGAACATTACTGTAACATCTTAAATATTTAACTGAACATAAACATATCAAGGTCCAGTCAGTTCCTAAATGTGTGTCTGCCCATGTGGCTCTGTGGTTCTCACAAATACAAACGCAATGTTGTAACATGCTCATAATAAATGTCAGCCCTCAGCCCCCAAACAACAGTTAAATGTGCACATTGCAGTTAGTTCATTAATCCAGTCTCAACAAGAAAAACTCTCCGGTTCTGTTGGACTGCAGCTACAAATATTAGATTCATGAAGATGACCATTTTTAAGTACAGAAAAAAGAATATCCTCTTTGAACATTCTGGCTCAGTTTTTCCTCAACGTGCATTCGACACCGAAGGCCCACCACTGCCGTTCCACAACATTTTATTTTGCTGCAGTCTGTATATTCTCTGCCTTATTTCTGTCTTTCAGGATTTTGGAAGTGATGATGACCGGAAAAATAATCAGAGGTAAGCTCTTTCTGTTTAAAAAGGCGTGTGTTTGAAGATCTCTTGAGACAGTGATGATATACAAATGTTTTGTATTTCTGACTGTGTGGAATGTATTTTTGTCCCGTCTTTGTGGTCAGCGGACCTGGATGAGCTCACTCAGTAGTAGGAACAAGGGGAAATATCAGCAGACAGTGATGTCTCAAGCTGTAATTTTCAGTCTCTGGTGAGGTCTCAGTCTCTGAAGGATGACTGAAAACAACATTTTAACCGGTCCAAGTGAGAGTATAACCCTTACAACACAGTTTATACTCTTAAATCTGAAACCCCAAAGTTCAGTTTAACTTCTTTTTAAAAGGGGTCTTTTAATTTCTTTTTTTTCATATTCACATATTAATCTGCTTTGTCTGGATTATATGTACTTGTGCTCTATTTTTACTTAGTTTCTAGATTTTCAGGTTAAGGGTGGCTGCTTTGATATATACGATATGACGACAAAAAGTATGAGAACCTTTTTCTGCATAAATTGGTCATAAAATGTGGTCATGGTCCAAAATCAATCAATTCTACAGATCACATTTTATGACCAGTTTAAGCAGAAAAGGGTTCACATACTTTTTCCTGCGACTGTATATACAGTGTGTGGTGTGTGTGTGTGTGTGTGTGTGTGAGAGAGAGAGTGTGTTTCTGCCAAATGCACTATTGATTTTATAGTGAATGTAAAGTAATTGTTCTGTAATTGGAACAAACACACAAGTTTGGCAAGGACAGTTACACTTCTTCCTAAAAAGAGGATTCATTTAATATTGTTTCTGCTTTCACCTCTTGAATCTTCAATTCAGTATTAAAAAACTATTTTGGCAGGTGAGGAGCTGCTTGTCTCGTCCCCAGTCCTGAAAATTCAGTGATATCAGCAAATCTGGCTTTCATATCGGTTACACAGTTTATTTTCTCTAATGGCCTTTACTTTCTGACTTTTGTCAAGGAGAAAAACCTTCAGGAAGTATAGATGATTTAACGTGACAGTTTTTTAAAAATGTTTCCTCTACTCGGTTACATAACATAAACTTGTTTCTGCTCGGTCACAAAGCTTTTCTTTAATCAACCCGACGTCACAAAAGTCATGATTTGTGTTCAGCAAAGCTCTGGCACAGACCCTGTCATTGTGCTCACTGAGTGCGTGGGTCATTCACAGTTGAAACAGCCATGTCATGTCTAAATGAGTAAAATGTTTCTGTGGCTCGGTAATTTATCAGCGTGGAGTCTTAATTTAGGATTCTGCATGTCAGACTTGAGATCGATGCCAAGTAACATTTTCACCGCCTCCCAATGCTTGCATGAAAGATGGTATTGTGTCAGAGTGCTGCATAGGGAGAGCTGATTGCCGAAGCATGCGCTGTGAAGTGGAGATAGGGAGCTGAAACAGAGAGGACAGGACAGCACAGACGAGGAGACTTCAGGGCCGAGATGGCAAGAAAGCTGCTGGAGGAAAAGAGAAAGGACTTGCCAGACCAGGACCATGACGAGAGAATTTAAACTGAAATATGCTGCTAGGAGAGGCTTTAGTCCCCTGACTGACCGTGGACCGGGATACGCAGGTGTAGAAGATGGATAGCAGGATATTAGTAATAAAAGGCCTGTTTTGGGAAACTAAATTGGAGAGTGTAAACAGTCAACTAACTACTAGCAAGGATGCATCTGGTTGTGAAACCTTCACATAAAGCTATGTTCACCGTGCTGCCTCACTTGGTGGAGGAAGCTGCTCTGACTCAGAGGGAGATCTGTCGCATGTAAGTTCTCACAAACAAAAAGCTGATACTAGACTTACTGGTAGACATGTATTAGAGTAACTCGACACTTAGTGGAAGTATGGGGTGTCTAGAGTTGGCAGTTAAACTTTGATGAATTGTGAGGATGTCACAGTGTGATTAGTTTAATTTAGCAATATATAATACATACATTTGCTTACATATTTACGTACATATTCAGGACATCAGACACATTTTAAAGCTTTCATTCTGAGAGGATTTTTTGGGTTCAAACTACGTAAATCACACCTTTTAAAATAAAAAATAAATAAATACTCTAAAAGCTTAGTCATCCTTTTTCTTCCGTGAAGAAAAGACCTGTGATTGAAGAGTTCTTTGAAATCTAAAATGCAGCATACATTTGTTTAAGGCTACTTATTATTTGCCTTGTGGTTCATTTGCGCTGTCGTCTCCACGTCATATGTCATCTACGTACATTTGAAAAGAAATGATACCATGTGGCCGTGGAGCTGTAACAAAAGGCCTTGTGATGGTCCCACTCAGTCATACCAGGCTTTGTGTGTGTTGTTTGAGCGGGGATTGAGAGTGTGGTTAAACAAAGCTGCACTGTTCTGTGTAAGAAAGGACGCTAAAGCTCTCCCTCCTGCTCTCTGCAGCTCTCGTAACAAAGTCGTGACCCAGAAGTGCTGTGTCCAACGCAGGTTGGACAGGAGAGAAAGCTTTAAAGCCTGAGCACATATGGACCATCATGGGGTAACACTTGATTCACCATAGGTCAGGCAACCCAATCAAGTAGAGTCAGTTAATCACAGGGCTGTAAAAGTCACTGCATCAGGACTCTTGCTGACTTTCAGTCTCTGATGAGCCCCCTGTCCTGCTCAATGAACCAATGAGGACTTAATAAGTATGCAGCCTGTACCTGGCTGCTCACTATACGTACAGTATCCTGACTGCAAACATTTCATGTCCCTGTCTCAACTTCATTCATCACAATTCTTAAACACACTACGTGATGTAAAGTGTGATTTCAACTCCAATGTGGACTTTTTTGCAACATCATGGAGACTAAACTCTCATCTGTGAAGTCTGGTCAGACAACAGAAAATGAATCAGAACATTTTGATAATTGAACAAATATGCCACACAATACAAAAGATTCATTGATTTAAGCTTCTCATTTTTAAAGATTTGCTGCTTTTATTTGTGTTACGTGATGGTCAGTTGAATATCTTTGGTTTTGGGAAAGATAGCAAGCAATTTGAAGATGTCAGCTCAGTCTCTCAGTCTCTCTTTTGACAGACATTTCCAATATTTTCTGACTGTATATAGACCAAAAGATAAATTGGTTAATCAAGAAAATCATCTGCAAATTTCTTTCCAAACATTTCTTTATTTAGCAGTTTAGGTCACATACCAATAACGATGATTCAGTTTTTGCTCAGTTTACCAGTTATAAAGCCAAAGGATGTGTTATAAAAGTATCCACTTGACATTCATTCACTAAGTGAAAAATAAACTCAGGAGGAAAAGAAGAGCCTAATAAACCCACCATTTAAACCTAACAGACTCAAATTTCCCATATATCTTTTACTGATATTTTTATTATGTGAAATATTATAAAGGTTTAAAATGTAGAATGACCTCTCATTTCAAGTAGCAAAGTACTTAAAGGTACAATAATGGGTTGCCTATCTATCAAACAGCCAGTTTAAGAGTAGTGTGCTACAATGCACTGTAAATAAGACGTTCTTTGATGGCAGTTGTTTCCCAAAACTAACCCATAATACAGATTGAAGAAGCCCTGAATTTATTTTCTACTTATGCTTTTTCCAGCCTCAGTGAGAGCTTCTTCATGGTCAAAGGAGCCGCCCTCTTCCTCCAGCAGGGCGGCAGCGCACAAGGACCAAAGACCCCGACCCACCACAAACATGCAGGTAGAAACACACTCAGGCACAGAAGAAGCTTTGTTTCATGTTCTTTTGCCCCATATTCACTGCACAGATAAGCTCCAGACAAAAGGAAAATTGAATTGCTGGGGTGGGTATTCTCGCTGTGGGTTTGTCTGTGTTTATTCTAAACTATGTAAGGAACCGTGACTTAGTTGGGTCTGACCTGAATCGACCAAAGCTATAAGTAGAATAAACAAAGCTGTAAGTAGAAAACACTTATCACAGTCATTTACTAAATGAATTCACCATTTAAAATAGAGAGAGGCAAATTTTGCAATGAAAGCACTGGAAATTTGTTTTAAAAACTGCACCTGGTCTTGAAACAAGAAGATAAGATGATCAGACAAATTATATTTACACCACTCAACCTCCTACCTAACAGTGCTGTCAGCTAGTGACAACACATGTATTGCCTAAATTACTACAGATGTTTGTCTTTGCAGATTCAACATCATATCTATATACATACACTGATCAGCCATAACATTATGACCACTGACAGGGGATGTGAATAACACTGATTATCTCTTTACCGTGACATCTGGGTATCATGGCTAATCGGTGTATACGTACTGTCATTCAAACTTCAGTTTTCCTTAGTGGCGCCAACAGATTTAGCTCAGTGTTATTACACAATCATGCTGCTGATGTTTGTCTGCACATCACAGTGACATTAAAATGTGGCATAATCTTGCACAGTCTAAAAATAAAAATGCCCAAAGTGCTTTAACGACCATCAATGGAGTTCTTTTTTAGATGCTCACTGTTTACAAGTCTCTAATCTGATGTCCTTGTTGAGTCTGAAGCCATTTGAGGACAAACTCAGGACCAGTCAGTTTGCACTTTTGCATTCATGAGTGAGAACACCTTAGCTTAGCAAAGCTGGAAGGTCACAGGGTTTAGATTTTTCTTCAATGGGAGAAATCTGCTAACATATTTCCTCCCACTGGAGAAGAAAACCAACAATGAATGTACAATAGAGGAAGGAATGATCAGTTTGTAGTTGGCCTTTAGTTTTTTTGGGTAGAAATTCCAGAAAGAGCGTCTCTGTAGTGAAGCCTGCCAGTGATTTATTTTCTCTGAATGTCTAAACTTGGTAATAATAGTTTTAGTTACTTACTGCAATACCTATTAAAGCTTAGGTCATGAAATGGCAGGAAAATCCCTTTTCTCTGTCAGGGTCTTTGTGAGCTAAACAAAGTGGTGATGTCCAGCTTAGATATCCAGACTATGACGATGACCTCAAGCCAGTTTGGCTGACTTAAAGCCAGTTAAATGGTCTAATCAAACATTGCCAATGACAGTGTCTCTTGTTTAATCACAGTACACTCATTCTGTTTTCCTATCGGTCTTAATGCACGTTTCGCTTTCAGGAGATTTACCTCAACACCTGCAGGTCATGTTTAAGATCCTCCGGTCCGAAGATCGCATTAAACTGGTCAGTAAAACACTCACACACCCACTTCATCACTCACACATTTTTTTCGCCAAAAACATTTGGATAGTAACTTTTATGTATTGTTTGCGTGGGTGCTGCACTCTTTAAAATCATTAATTTAATTCACCATATAGAAAATTAGAGACTTGACGACACAAGTGTTGTTATCAAGTTTTACAATTTAAAATTTTAGAAAAGTCTGTTTGATCTCAGGTGTGTGTCATCATGAAGTAACATATGTTTTCGTACAGTGGCAGCATGGCAACATCAGTAAATAGTGGATATTTTTCTCATAAATGCAGTTTCTCACATACTCCTCTTTTGTTCCACAGGCTGTACGGTTAGAGAGTGGATGGTCAGACCGGGTACGCTACATGGTTGTTATCTACACCAACGGCCATCAAGACACAGAGGAAAATATCGTCCTGGGAATGGACTTCACAGACAAGGACAGGTAATTAATCTCTCTGCAGACCTAAATTTAGCGCAGTTTATGATGATTAGATTTGTTAAAATGTTATTTTTAAATCTTTGTGATTTACAGTAAAGATTGCTCTATTGGGATGGTGCTACCACTGTGGAGTGATACCAACATACATTTAGATGGAGATGGGTAAGTTTCAGTTTGTCCTTTCATAAAAGATGGAATAATTAACATTTAAATCTGCTGAACATACAAGGTACAACACTGCCAGTGGATCTTTTCTTTTAAAACACACACCTATAAATGTGAAGCAAGAGTTTCTAATGTGTACTTTGTGCTCAGACTCAAGGGGGCCTCCAGCTGCATGTTTTGGTTGTTTTCTGCCCTTTTAGGTTTTACTGCCCACCAGTGGCAGAGGAGTGAATTACATGCATTTTTCTCCCTGTGTGAGAACCGTTCTTGCTGACCTGTTAACATTGTCTCTGTATGCTGGAGGAATGTTCCACTGGCCGGTGTCCTGAACAGTCCCATGAACGAGCCATGTCCAGTCTGTGTTTACATTCCCCTGGTCACTCTTCATCTCCATCCAGACTCAAACTGATCTTCCTTCTCCTCCTCTTCCTCACCAGAGGCTTCAGTGTGAACACAGCAGGGCGGTCACATGTCTTCAAGCCTGTGTCTGTGCAGGCCATGTGGTTAGTGAATCCTTCATGTTTACCTAGAATTACTGTCGTGTGTTTTGTGGTGTGTGGACAAGGGGAAAACACATTGTCTATGTTGTATAAATGTTGTCTTAAGAGCATGTTACCAGACCTCAAGGCATGTTCTTCCTGTTAATTTGAGTTTTTAGATGTTGTATGCCCATATACTCAGGTTTATGCCACAGTTAGTGGGAATGTAAATCACAATTTGTATAGTTTTTTGGCTCATGGATACCTTTTCATGCCTCTGTGCAGTGTGAAGGTGAGATTAGCCTAGTTAGTTTAATTATGGGATCAAGAAGCAGCTCCACAATAAAAAAGTTAACTGTTAGGCTTTGTCCAACATTAAGGCTTTGTACTCCTTATCCCAGTGTAAACACTTTTCTTAACAAACATACATGGAAAATACCACCATCATATCCATATAAAAAATACACATACAGCCCTCTGAGATGTCAAATTTTAGATTATTGTTTGGGACTACTATTTATATCATTCCTGCAGTGATTATAGTTTTCCACTATGGTCATCACTGTGATGTCTTTCCTGGTCCAGCATGAATATTTGGGACAGGACTGTCACCACTGTTTGCTCAAGGACTTCTGACAGTTTTGCTTTATCCACATGCCACCTGCTGGTCACTTACCAGAATGACCAATAAACAAGTCTGCCTTGTCTTATTTGCCCTGCTCCTGTCACCATACATCCATCTTGCTGATGATTTTGATGGGAAAGCCTTTGCTCTGTGCCTCTGCAGGTCTGCCCTGCAGATCCTCCACAAAGCATGCGAGGTGTCACGCCGGTTCAACTACTTCCCAGGTGGCATTGCTCTCACTTGGATGGCCTTCTATGAGAGCTGCATCACCTCAGAGCAAAGCTGCGTCAATGAGTGGAATGCCATGACCGACCTGGAGACCACCAGGCCTGACTCGCCCACCATGTTTGTCGACCGGTGAGACACTACAGGCTGCTTCTATTAACATAACAGTTTGAGCAAATTAAAGTGAAATGTAACATGTAGGAAAAACAAAGGCTGTAATGTTTTGAGGCATTCACAGCACCCACACCTGATGTCAGATTTCCAACGGTTTCAGCGTCACATGGCCAAACAAACCAATTGCCACTTAGTTGTAACATACCTGGGGTGTGTACACTCTTAGTCATCGAATAGATTTCAATGCTTTGGACACAAGCTATTGTCCCTTTTGTTTCTGTCCTTTGTCTTCAGCTGTGGAAATATGTTATACTATAATGCCACTTTTCAGTCAGACAGCAGCACTGATGTATTGACTGATTATGTGCAGCCCAACTGAACGAGAGAGAACAGAGTGTCTCATCAAAGCCAAGCTACGCAGCATCATGACGTTTCAAGACCTGGAGAACATCACCTCGAAGGAGGTATGTGCCAAATCAACAGCTCAACGATGCGTGTTATTGGTCTAGATATTTCTATAATACTGTACTTAAAGGTTTTAGCAAAATCTACATGTGATGTTCATGTTTTATTAATGTAACAGTCATTAACTGTAAACATTTATGGTAGATGGTATAGTAGAGAATGGTAGAGAAATGAACATTCAATTCACGGGCAATAGCTCTGGTGGACATTCCTGCAGTCAGCATGCCAATTGCACACTCCCTCAAAACTTGCGACATCTTTGGCATTGTGCTGTGTGAAGGAACTGCACATTTTTGAGTGGCCTTTTATTGTGGACAGCCTAAGGCACACCTGTGCAATACCCATGCTGTCTGTCAGCATCTTAATATGCCACACCTGTGAGGTGGATGGATTATCTCGGCAATGTGCTCACTAACACAGATTTTGACAGATTTGTGAACAATATTTGAGAGAAATAGGCCTTTTGTGTACATAGAGAAAGTCTTAGATGTTTGAGTTCAGCTCATGATGAATGGGGGCAAAAACCAAAGTGTTGCATTTATAATTTTGTTCAGTGTGGAACTGGGTTCCCTTTCTTAAAGATCCAATGTGTTTTAGTGCTTCTCAGTATGTCACTGTTGTTTTAGGAAAGTTTCAGTTTATGTCCTCGTCCTCAGATCCGTAACGAGCTGGAGCAGCACATGAGTTGTAACCTCACAGAGTACAAAGAGTTTATCGACAACGAGATGCTTCTGATCCTGGGACAGATGGACAAGCCCACACTTATCTTTGACCATGTGTATTTGGTATGAATGTTTTTTAACCATTTTTACTTTATGCTACCTTTACGTTTTTATTATATTATATTTTTAAAATAGTGTTTCCTCCTTTTCCACCATGCTGACACCCACATATGTTTACACTTTGGTTTCTACTTACCTCATTAAAATACAGTACAGTTTACTTAACAGTAATTCTTAGCAATAATTCTGAACAAGTATCGGTCTTCCTGCCTCTGTAGGGCTCTGAGTGGAACGCTTCCAACTTGGAAGAACTCCGTGACTGCGGGTGAGCTGACAGCTTAACACCAACATACTATGTTTTCATGATTTAATCCTAAATGTTTTATTCTTATACAGGTTTAAATAAAAACTATATATGTATTTTTTTACCTGAAAGTTGCTGCTATCTGTAAATACAGTCTATTTATCTCCCATATTAGATTCACTTTTGTTGTGTTTGGAAGAAGAAGAAGTACTTCTTTGTTTCAGCTCATATTTAATTAAGTCTGTTACTACTGAATATAAAAAATGAAATGTCACATGAAAAATTAATCCATCTTGAGATACATCTTTTAGTTCAAATAGCAAAATGCATGGTATGTATCCTGGTTTGGAAAAAAAATAATAATATGCGTGTGTTTGTGTGTGTGTATACACACACAAACACATTGTGCATAGAGTATTATTTTAACTACTAAGCAGTGGAGGAAAGACTAACATGTTATTGGTTTGGTTGCAGAGTTGGTTACATCCTGAATGTTACTAGAGAGATTGACAACTTCTTCCCGGGGATGTTCTCTTATCACAACATCCGTGTGTACGATGAGGAGGCCACGGATCTGCTGGCCCACTGGAACGAAACCTACAACTTTATTGTCAAAGCCAAGTAAGACCCTACCTGTAAAACTAAAATAGTGAGCTGCTGCTATTTAGGTGCTTTCGACAGAAACAGGAGGGGGGTGTATTGCAGGGTTTGAGGGAGAAATTATACACCAGCCTGTTATCCAAGAATTGAACAAAACTGTGCCCCCACATCACTCGGTATTTAAGTTTTAGTCATAATTTTTAGTCATCACAGTTTGACTGGCTCACATCAAGAACTCTCTCCGAGCACTGGGGCTGTGATCACACAGGAAACATTTTTCTCCTGCCCAAATGCTGTGAGTTGTGCCAGAAACATAGAGGGAGAGATAACTGAAATGGTGCAATCACTCTCGTTGCTATGCAACTGTCTAAGCATGTTAACCTGAGGAGAAAAAAAATTTTAAAAAAAGGATGTTTGCAAAAATAAAAATGGGAAAAAGCTAAAGTTGAGACATGTGGAGTGCTCATAGGAGTATCCTGAAAACCACCAAAAATAAACATATTTAACAAAATATTTTATTAGTACACCACCCTATCACCAACTAGGTCCATATAATGGGATGTAAATTTATATATTTTTATTTTTCCAATAGGAAGAACAACTCCAAGTGCCTGGTGCACTGTAAGATGGGAGTGAGCCGGTCTGCCTCTACAGTTATTGCCTATGCAATGAAGGAGCACGGCTGGTCTCTGGAGAAAGCATACAACTTTGTCAAGCAGAAACGCAGTATAGCTCAGCCAAACGCTGCTTTCATGAGACAGCTGGCAGAATATGAGGGAATCCTGGATGCAAGGTAAGCAGGTCTACAGTTTCACTCAGGTCTGCACTTCACTCCCATACCTGCAGTCACCTGGGTGTTAAATGTTTTCTTTTTTTTTCTTTTTTACTTTAGTGCAGCTTTGCTGTTCATTTTTGGGGCTAATACAAAATTAAACAAAATTAGTCTGTCAGTTATTTTCTTAACATGTAAGCAAAAGTCCACTTTTCCTTTGCAGTAAACAGCGCCACAACAAGCTATGGAGGACTGAAACAGATGAGGAGGGATCAGATGACTTGCAAGCCTCTGGCCACAGTACTGGTGGGGAGGAGACACCAGTGCTCAGAGGGGAAGAAGCCTGGGGAGGCTGCGGGGCATCTCCCTGCAGAGGTATGGGTCTGGAGATGGAGCCCCTTGACTCTCTTAACTACAATTATTACTTCAGACGTTTGTCAGACTCTGCACTAGACAGCGAGCCCTCCACCCCAGTGCGGGGTCCCCCCCTGCTAGGTATGGAAAGAGTTTTCATTGAGATTGAAGACGTGGAGAGGGATGCCCTATTGGAGGATGAGGGTTTCCCCATGGCCCATTTAGCTCTGCCTGGCAGTGGCACGGCAGCTCAAACGTGTGGGCGCCTTGACCCCATGGAAGACATGAGACTGAGGCTCGAGTTCAGTACTTTGGAGGAAGAGGATGAGGAAGAGGCCAAGAAAGAGGAAGCTGAGATGGCGGCCTTGGCTCAAACACCTGGAAATTCAGATGGGAAGAAGGCTGGGGAGGAGGCAGAGAGGACGGAGGAAAGCCGGCTAGGCCTAGCCAATCTGAACACCAATAACAGTAACCGCCTAGCTGCCAAGCGCAGCTGCCCTGCAGCTTTTGACGTGAGTTGAGAAAATATAGCTTTTAACTGTGGTTAAGTTATGTTTTGTGTTTAACAACCTTTTTTTTTTTAAAACCTGTTTTCATTTAAAAGCATATTTAATGTTATTAATTTAACATTTTAAATATCCTGCATGCCACTGACCATTTACTGTATTCTGTTCCAATGTTCCTCCATTTAGGACAGTGCTAGCACAGGAAACCCTTTAAAAGTGAAGCCCTCCTATCAGTCCTGTAAAGATTGCCTGCGTCTACAACAAGGGCGGCGCTGTGACCGTCCAGCAGGAGGCCGTTCCCATCGCCTTAACCCCTCTCGCCACTGCACTGTCCCCTCCATATGCATTGATCCGCCCGGGACCAATTTTTCATCCACCCCAATTCTGCAGTCTCTGCAAACCCCTGCAGTTGTCCTGTCTAACTTGGTCCAGCCCTGTAGTCATCTCTACCGCTGTTCCACCTGCGCCCCCGTTGTCCTACCTGTCCCACTAACCAACCACCAAAAACTGGTCTCACCGATGAGCTGTGAGGAGATCCCTCCTGACCGCAGCTCAGTGGAGACAGAGGACATGGACGAACCACAGGGGGACGACGTCGGAGAACAAATATCTATGGAGGGTACAGGGGCCATCAGTGCAACTACTGCTGAAGCTTTAAAATTACAACCTGGAGGTGCAGTGGAACTCGAGCAGCAGGCTCTGGCCCAGCTGCAAATGCCAGGACTGGGAATAGAGTTTGGTCTGGAACTGATGAGACAGAGAGCAGAGCAGCTTGAGAAGCTGCCAAGCTTGGCCATGGAGGGCCAGCTCCCAGTGAGGCCCCTGCCTTAATACAGTGGCCCGGGCATGGATGCGATGGAGAAGGAGGCTTACCACTGCCTCCACCAGGTACACTTTAATGGCTTTGGGCCTTTAGATGACTGCCGCTGGAGTGTCATACCAGAAACAAAGCTCTGCTTTGACCTGTACTGTCATGTCCTGGCCTCATGGCTGTACTGTAACAAGCTGCAACAGCCCTCTGTGCATTTACAGAGTGTCCTGTCATCATCTACTGGCATTAAGATTCAGATGAGGCTGGTTATTTTGACCACACACTAAAGGCTTGAATGCTTCTGGCCATGTAAGGACTGAAGACTTTCCTGTGTTCCTCAGACTTGATTCCCTTCTGAGCCCGCCAGCCCCAACACCACATACAGGATCATCACTCTTCCCCACAGCACAGTGGAGATTTTACCCTCAACAGACAGGTTTGACATATTCCCAAGACAGGAAACGGTGGTGGTTTCTAACACCTGAGAGTTATAGCTAGCATTCTGATGTTGATGGAAAGAAAGGTACCTGAGGTAATAATGCTTCTGTCAGTGTACTGTATGTTTTTCAATCCAAACTCATCAACAGTATTCATGAAGGAGCTCAATGAATGTTTGCAGTTGAGCCTGTTTGATTGCATTCAGTATCTCATGTTACTACTGATAGCTGAACCCTCACTTACCTTCACTTAATATTTTCCCTGCTACAGCTGCTTTTGCATCACGAGAGGGCATTTTATGTAAAGAAATAATCATTTTTTTGAAAAGAATGTGAGCCTTTTTATGCTTCTTTGTAAAGCTCCGTACCTCGGACCACAAGCATCTCAGACTGTTTGGTCAAAGACCGTTTTGTGGCGGGTTCACCCCGACCTCCATTACAGTTAATGTAATCGTGTACTTAAGGCACTCACTTTAGCCCACACATGACTTTGCAGATTTACGAAACATATCTTCAACATGCTTAGACAGATGACATATTAAAATCCCCTTTTAATTTCACAGAGGTTTTTGAAATACTGAAAAAAACTTTTGGCTTTCAAATGTGTCATTATTCCGTTTAAGTGACAACAAAAGGCATAATTATTGACTGAATTGAACCTAACCACTCGTCTTATGCCTGAAAGAATGACAAAAGAAAAATATACTGAAGAGATACTTTCAGTTGTTGGAAGACATTACATTCAGTCAGATGTTAAGAAACATTCGTAAGCTTAAATGTAAATCTATTTTCAATTCCTGATGTAATCAAAGCCATATCATGTTGCCAGGTCCAGTGAATCACCTTCATGATTTTAGATGGCAAAGAAGCAGTTTCCTTTGATATATTATACATACTTTTCTTACTTTCTTAACCAGCGTGCATCTCATCTCACCCAGTTAACGTTTTGGTCACATGTTGAAAAACTAGAAGCTACCTTTCCCTAAATAAACAAACATTTGCAAAGGCACACTAATCATATAGATTTAGCACCTGAGGACAACTCTAGTATCCAATCACACAGTGCATATATTTCAAAAATATATGCTAGCTACATTTAATCAAACTGGTGAGAACACTAAAGCAAAAATAGAGACATCAGGAGTAAAGAAAAATCTACAATAGTTATATCCTTTGTGAGTGTCATTTATTCGATCTAATCATCAGACAGCTACAGTCAACAGCAGATGCTGCTGAGAACTTTGTTGGTAATTGATTGTTTTTGTGAACTAAAATAAAATGTTATTTGACTTTCAAATTACCAAATGAAACATTTCTATTTACAGTGTGAAAATTAGAAAGTATATTCTGAATTTACAATACAAGATTTCCTTTGTTTTAAATACATGAGGAACCTATCAAGAAAACTGCGAAGCCCAGCACTCACAGGTTTTTGACATCTCAACACTAAAACTCCAACAATCAGTGTGAATGAAGACTGAACAAGTCTGTCTAGACCTTCTTTTATTTTGTATGCTTTCTGACTGTTTGAGGCGCATGTTTTGTTCAAAATGTGCCACCAATCCAAAGTTGCTGTGCCACCGGTGTTACTCTACAAGTTCTTCTGTTTGGTTGATGTTGTGTTTGCTTACTGTTTTGGGGCACGCTGGGTGTGCTGAAATGGTATTGAATGATGCCTGTTTGTATGCAGGAAAAGCACATGCAAGTGTTATTACTGTGTTTAAAAATCTGAGTGCTTCAGAAGAAATGAAAACTGTGCAAAGAATGAATGCAAATTATTATATCCTCTTTAACCATATGGTTATTGTATATTTTTTGTAGATTTGGTTTTCTTTAGTTAGATCAGTAGAAACCTCGACAAACGACAACAGTGCATCCTCAGTTCCTTCTCCTCCCTTAACTGAACCCCAGGGAGCTGCAGGTTCGCTCCACTAGTTAGATTTAAATAATTTTGTTTTGCCTTTAACCTGTTTCTTCCCTCACATGGCCATTTGAGCATGATGTAACGTAAGGCACTTACACAAAGTTGTTGACAGCATCTAATAGCACACACATTTGAAATGAAGCCATTTGAAACCAACTGGGAAAAAAGATACAATTACATGAAGTTGTTTTTAAATTTTGCAGCTATAAGAATTAAGAAATGTTACTAAGTGGCAGGGTTACTAAAGGCTTTGAAAAGAAGATTCAAGGAATAGTTCAAAATGTATCTGAAGGTAATAAAATCCACCTACCAACACCTCTAAAGCTCACTAATTAACACTTTACATCTCATTTGTTTGGCGAAAAGGATCCAAAAATGACAACTAGTCATTTTTCACACTAATAATTTGCAGCATCAGAGGTGCTATTTAGAGGATTTTTTTTTACCTTCAGACAGGCTAGCTGTTTCACCCTGTTTCCAGGCTTCATGCTAAGCTAAGCTAACCGGCTGCCGACTAGAGCTTCATAATTAGACATGATACAAGTGGTATTGATCTTCTCAATTCTCTCTGCAAGAAAGCAAATAAGTCTATTTAATATTAAACTATTCCTTTTAATATATTATTAATATGGTTCTAATTTAGGCCAGTTCTCAGTAGGTTAGGTGAGCTTGATCAGTGTGTGATGCTATGTTACAAGCATTTAATCCTTTTTGCGTTCCCAGACCACAACACTACGTTTGGTTGTTTGCTTCATGTTTTGAATTTGTTTTTGTATTTAAGTGCCTTAACCTTGGCCTTAGCTCTATCATAAAGCATCACAGGCGTTGCACAGTTTCTATGAGTGTGTTGATGGTCTGGCTTTTTTTACATTAACTAACCCTTGCTCCCAATAATAACCATGCTCCTTGAAATGTATATCTCGGTACAAAATATAATGTATGCAAACACACACTTAAGCTCATGCACAGCAGCCTCCTCCATCCCAACACACATAACTTGATGGACTTCCATTTATTAATAGCCTATAATAATATTGTATTTGTTTGATATTGTTGAAACGTGTGGTACACTGTATTGGTTCAATAGCTGGCTGAAGAACCTTACTTGCTGGAATGAGAACTATCATTTACATTCAAACATTAGATAGGATTAATTTACCAAGTCTTTGAAATTTACCAGTCTGTATATATTTTTCTCAATTTACAATTTGCTATTGAAAACATTAGCTTGCCTATGTGGTCAATATTAAGAAAAGCACTGATAGTGCTACTGCGTATTGAGAAGTACTCATAATTAAGTTCTCGTGTTTGTACCACAGCAAAAAAATGACTTTGGGCCATCTCTAATTTAGTCAAATGTCTTCAGGCTCTAAGAAAAATGGCAACAATTGAATTTTTTTATTGCATTATTCCCAGGCAGCAGGCATCAAACTGACAATCTTCCTGAAGAGCCAGGCATTGAGGAAGGATATTAAGACATATTGTAAGTTAAAGGGGGAATCCAGGCATTTGTAGAGTGTATTTATAGAGCACAAGTCTGCCCCCAAGCATGTGAGGTGGAGACGAGTGGAAAATGTTGAACATGAAAAACCCACCTGGGAGATTTTGTTACGTTAATTGTTTTTTGTTAACTTTTGTCTACTGTACTGTACATTGCCAATGTTCATGTGTAATGCACTTTTTTTTACATTTGTTAAAATTACGTCCAGTCTAATGTTTATCATGGAAATAAACCATTTCCTCTGCATAAATGCTCTGTTCATGTACACATTCAGTGAAGTTGATTGCTGTGCTTGCATCAAACATGGACAGCTCAGCAATTGTCACCACACAGTTTTCATTGTATTTACACATTTCGGTAGAAAAAGATCTATATTTAGATTCCTTGTAGAATCTTAAAACTTGTCTGTGTCTGAAATCTGTACTTTTTCTTTTTAAGATACCTTTATTGCAATATACTGTAAAACTTTGATCACACAAATAGCTGGCTGCCTCTGGCCTTCACTTGCTCTTTTAGTTAAATGAACGGGGCAGAGGGCACTCTTATTGAATTAGTCAAATGAAGTCAGTCTGACATCATGGGGCAGGTGACGGCTGAAGGAGAAGATCTCTCAGAAAGACCGAAGTCCAACAGGACGACGGGCAGATACAACGTCACTTTTAAACATCAGCCTCAGTAAGTATCTACTTATAATCTGTTGAGATGATTTTATGTCAGTGTAACTATATAGTTTAACAGATAATTTTCAAAACTGCATACAGTTGTTTAAAGGGAAGTATTAATAAGAATAATCAGTACCAATTGTCTGACAGTAACAACAGGCCAGGAGAACTTATGTTCTTCAGTTAAAAGGTCAGTTAAAAGTTAACATTTACTTCCTCAATGACTTTGAATTTTAATTTAAGATGTCCAAAAGTGTCATGTCTGTATTGTATATTTTGATGCTGTTTATCCTTTGGTTATGTTTATTATGTTATTATATATATAATATTATTCAAGCCACAGAAATAGCTTATTATGAACCAGTACATTGCATAAATCGATCATGTAACCTTAAAGTAGCAGCACATCTTTTTATGACCTTACTGGATGGTATGAAAATTTTACTGTCAGAATAGATTATGTTCCTGCCACACTGACTATTTGAATTTCATCTTATTACATGTCATAGCCTACGCTTAATGCTCTAAAGGAAAGGCACGGTACTCTGTTGGGAAAAACAAAAATCTATCCTGAGACCAGGCTAATAGTTTCTGTACTCAAAGTCACAAGTCTCTCATAAAGTGTGTGCTTTGTATTGGAAGCATGAGAGACACAAGAGAGAGAAAGAGAGAGAGTGAAGGAGGAAGTTTCACAAGCCAATGTCACAAATGCCTCCCACTGCTGCGATCATAACACATCCATCCCAAAATAACACTCTAGATACACTAAAGCTGCAAGCGCATGCATCTGTCAAGTCGTGGGATTGTTGTGAGCCACATCATACCACAAAACCAGAGCTGCAGTTAAATAATGTCAGCTGGTTAAACATGAAAGCTCAAATACAACTGTGTGATGGACAGAGTATGTGCCATTACACAGAAAACACTACTTGTGTGAAAATCTGAATACCGCTGCACATCAGCATAATTTTAGGTCCTTGGTAAAAGACTCAAAAGGGCATTCTACACATCCAAACTCAGCCTTGGACCAACTTAAAAACTTCTTGGTATTTATTAAACCTTTTGTTAAAGTATACTCATCTGAATGTATGGTATACAGCAGTTGTTCCCAACCTCATTGGCAGAAGTACCCCCACAGCCCCCTCAGATGAACTCAAGTACCCCTTCATTAACAACGTTTTTTATCTAAATCTTTTATCCATTACCTTTTATCTATTCATTTTAGTTATATTTCAACTGTTTATTTATTTATCACTTTTAGTGGTCTGTTTTGACAGTTTATCCATCACTTTTAGCTAACTGTCCATTAACTCTTCTCTGCCCATCTGCTAACTAGTTTTCATGTACAAAAGTGTTCAGATGTTACAGATGTCAGTATTGTGGATATGTTTTTAAATTGTGGATATATTTTTAAGTGTACTCAGATTATTATTTTTTTTAATTCATTGAGCTACTCCACACTCTTTCCACATAAGTACACCAGGTTGTGAATCACTGGTGTAGTGAACAAGAACCATAATTTCTAGATAAACAGGAGCCAAGCTTCAAGGGGAGTCGTGTCATTTACGTTCCGTGGACATGCTTGTTGGTTAAATAGACAGGCTTGAAAGTTTCACACAACGCCTCTCAGTCTTGAAATAGCATAAGCAACAGAGCACATGATTGCAGATGCAGGGTGAAGAGGTTCAGAAGTCACCCCTCTTTCCTCATTCACCTTTCAGCCAGCGAAATCAAACATTTGAGTAGCGTTTCCTTTGATTTGTCATGATTAACTTAAACGTATGCTCCTGCCATACCTATCTATCTATTTGTGAGCTAAAAATACTCAGATTCCCCATGCCACTTTAAAGGCCTGTTGTGCCATTTCCCCTTTGTAATAATCTCTCTTCCACCATCCATCAAGTTGGTGGTTAAACTCTGTTCTTATTGAGCCCCGGACAAACAATCCAGTTCAGAAGTCAAAGTACTTGTGACTTGAATTACGTATTCCAGGTGACCTTTCTATAGACCCCGTGACTAAAACAAACATTCAGATAGACTGGAGGGAAGTGAATACGGCACAAGCACGCCTTGTCTCCGAACCAGTAATTGACAGCGCATGGTGTCTCCCACTGTGCTGGCTCTGAAGGGACATGTTAACAGAAGTAGTTAGTAGACTCCCAAATCATATAACAATAGGGCTTTGATATAATTCAAGACTTATTTATTTGGTTTAAGAGAGCATCGGAATGTTTTTTTGAAATGGTTTGGCAGCATTTATAAGATCACATTTCTCTGAGCGTTTTATGTGACCATGGCACCTGGCGGCTAACCTCTTATCTCACTTGTCTTGTTTCCTTTTTGACCTCCTGACTCACTGGCAGCAGACAGACCAGATTTAATTTTAGCCGCCACAGCATTCCTCTCCGACAGAATAGAGAGAGAAAGATAGAGAGGTCTTGGAGGTGGGGGGGGGGGAGTAAGAGCAGTATAGAAGAATACACAAGAATAGAAAAAGATTCAAGATAGTTAAAAATAGACAGCAATGCCTGTTGCGATTTAATTTTATTGGGATGGGGAGGCAAGCCATCCACATTACGCCATGGTGACTTACTTATAAATCAGCTGCCGTGTCTCTTTTTGTCTCTCTCTTTTCCTAATGCTAAGACAGAAAGTCAACCATGGGCCAGAAGCTGGAGAAGTTGTCGGAAAAGGATGAAGAATCACTGGATAATTCAGATTGGTCTGGGCAAACTGGAGGGACAGAACAGTCGGAGATAGCAGAACAAGATGTGAGCAGAGATCAGGACAGTGGCAGTGTTGCGATCCCTCAGAGTATTGGTAGGATTAGTGGGATCAGTGTCGGTGGCCCGGCCAGTGGGCACGCAGGGGAGCTCACAGTCACTTCTGCACGTACAGACCCCCAAACCGGGCAGCCAATCAGGCCTCTAGGTCAGCGGGAGCACCCTCCGAACACCAGGGAAAAGTGGGTGGGTGGAGACGGGGAGAGCCAGGGTGTCACACGAGCTGCAGAGGAGTCAAAAACTGTCCTGAGCCCTAAGGAGACAAGACAAACTTCAAACAAAAAACGAGACTTTGAGAGCAAGGCTGTGGCCTATATTGGGACTACAGCTATGGAGGAGCAGGGAATTGGGAAGAAATCAGAGCTTGGTAATAGCAAGTCAGGTCCTGAGGCTCAGACCAGGGGTCTAACAGCCATGTGCGATCCCACTAGTGAGGAAGACTTCGTGGTGCTTGAGAAAGATGACACTTGGATGTCATCAGATGGGGAAAAGAACAGCACTTTTGGCAGCAGGATAAAAACCGAGACTCTTCAATCGTCTATTAAACGAAGAGTTGAGGAAGACTCTTCTGCTAGCTACATTGACGATAATCTTCAGCAACCCTCCATGAATGCCCCTCATGAAAAGGAGAAGAAAAGCAGTAGAAAATCTAACACACTTTCAGTCACGACTGACAGTGTGGAAGCACATGCAAGGAGTTTTGAGAGGGAAATGGGTCAACATTTGGCTGAAGTGACAGGCAGCAGGTGTTGGCTAAAAGGAGTGAGTCATGTTGGAGCTACCCACACTGAGACAACTGGGAGAGGAGAAGCAGAGAGGGAGCAAAACATGAATGACCACGGGAAGGGGCAAGTTTCCACAAACATTAAGGAGCACATGCCTACACAAGACTGCAGCGGCTCGGTGAAAAGATTAAGAAAGAGTACTGATGATCTGGAAAGCAGGCTTGATAAAGCAGTTCAGTTGAGTATGCAGGAGGAGCTTGGCGTGGAGGGAGCGATGAAGTCGAACTGGGACTCGTGCTTCAAAAAGGTAGATTCTTCTTTAAGAGAATCAGAAAATGAAGACAAGGAGAGCCACAATTCAGGATTTATTGCTCAAAAAACCCAAGTGGGAGCGGATCAGTCCCATCAGAACAGGTTTGCTGGTGCTGTCTCTAAGAGAGCTAAAGTAGGCAATCTTAGTTTGTACACCAAGAAAGGTGAAAGCCAAGCAGCCAACTCTCACCTCCCAAAGTCCCCTATCTCTGAAATACCACCACTGCAAGACCCTCCCTCATTTTCAATGGAACAATGCGATTTGAGCCCTTGTCCTCCTCTGCCAGGGAACGAAGACGGAGATGGAAAGATACAGGTTGCGAGCTTAAAGAGGGAGAGCGCACTTGTGTGTTTCTCTGCTGTCATCACCCCTCCACCTGTAACTCGTCTGTTGCCTAGGAGAGACACATCAGTGGCAACACAAGTCGGTACAAGTCTGGTAAACACAGACACCACGCCCGCCTCATGTGAGTCAAAAGATGAATCTATGCCAAAAGAAAAGCCCAAAGTTAAAGGTCCACCTCCACCTGTCCCCAAAAAACCTAAAAACCCTTTTATAAAGCTCAAAACTGCACAATTAATGTCCACCGATGTTAAAAGAAGAGGAAAAGATCATCCACGTTCTGAGGAGAGGGTCAAGAGGAGACACACTTTTCATTTTAACAAAGATCTTCCATGCAACACTCCAACTAATCATGACATGTGCTTGCTGTGGGATGAAAGGGGTACTTACACAGTCCCAACCAATAAACGGCCGCTGTCGGTTGATCTCAGCCCTTGGGAACATCTGTCGCTCAAACACATGGATGATCACTACGGAGATATGGTCGGCTTTGACTACTGTGTCCGAATAGCAAAATTGTCTCCAGAAGAGGAGCCGCAAAACCTGGACATGTTGCAGAGAGGAGTATTCCTGGAGAGACGATCCAGATTTAAAAGGTCACCACCTCCTGTTGCAAAAAAGCCTCCAACTTGTTTTGCATCCACAGAGAGCCTACACATACCTGAGGTCAGTTCAGACAATGAAATCCAAAGACCAAAACCTGCTTGTTCAGGGAAAAGAGAAACCTACCCTGAGCTCCCATCTGAAAGAGTCAGCAATGACAGCCATGGCAACTATGGTAGCCATAAAGACGTAATTGATTATAGTGATGATAGAGATGCAGGAAATGGCAATGACGTGGGTTCATATAAACCCGTGGCAGAAATGATCAAAGAAAGAAATCAAATGCAGAGACATCAGCGCCGGGTCAAACCTGAGGGGGCCAAAGCTCAGGTTCGGGTGGCAGAGCAGAGTCCAAGTGTGAAAGTATCCCAAATGAAGGATGCCTTTGATGTCCCAAAGAAATCCAAAGAGAGACCACCAGAAGTTCAACCATCTTCAAAAAAAGGTACGGATTTTGGACTGTCAATGTCAGAGACACCAGTTCTGTCTTTTTTTTAATGACCCAGTGGTTTATCAAAGCATTCACACAGCATCTAACAGTGTGTGTTATATTAGGATGAGATGGCACTTTCCACACTGCATACTGTCTGTCATGTCAAAACAATTTAATACATTTTCATGGTACAACTTTACTTAAAGGACTCATGACTTTTGGGGGGTTAAACCACTTCTCTGGTTGTGCAGGAAGCCTACTTTAAAAATGAATAGTTAATGAATGATTTTTATAGTGATATGTTTTTACTTTATTTAAGACTGACCTTCTGAAACTAGCTGACTGGCAGGGACTTGAAATTAAAAAATACATTAAAATCTGATTTAAAGCTCTTATGATCAATCATTTTATATTTTATATTAACAAAGGAAAAGCTTGGGTGCTGTTTTCAACAAAAAAGCTGTGATGAACCGACTGTTTGCTACCTGCTCAGCACCTGACAGACAAAGTGAACCTAGTGAAGCATTTATCAGATAAAGAGTCAGATAGTTCCTCTCCTGAAAGGGGTAAACAAAATTTTAATTCAACAGCATTATTAGACAATATATGGCAATTTATGTATCTGGGGAAAGTGGTTCTGATTTTAGATTAGATTAGGAGATTACTCAGTAATTACCCAGTAACTCAGCAGACCAACTCGCAAGGTCATCAACAAATCACTAAAATGAAACAATGTATGTGAAAAAGACAGATATTCAGAAACTAGGAGTCTCACATTCACAGTAGTTTCTTTGATTTCATCCACCATCCGCTTTTGGGACTTCTCATCTGTTTCATTTTATACATTAATTATGTAAGTTGGTTCTTGATGATACCAGAAAAAGCTTGTAAATGGGGCTAGAGTTGGGATTGTTTTATCAAACTACTATTTCCAAGGTCAAGAGTTTGAGCCCATAACATCTGTCCACACATCTAAGGCATCAACTTGAGACTGAAACTGTAGAATAAACTCCACCTGCAAGATGACTTAAATTTAATCAACTCTAAGGAGGTCAAATAATGTTATGTGACAACATTTACCGAAAAGGCAAACAGAGGGAATAGCCTAAGTAGTACCTGGTTCGACAGAATAATTGTGATGTAGACTACTGGAGGTTTCTTTATTGTGTTTTGGCAGTACAGGCTGAGGTGGGGTGGGATGGGACAGAGGGGGGGGGGGGGACCATGGTACAAAATTTGCTGCTGGCAATGAAAAAACACAGCTGAACAAAACGCACATTCAGTAGGTCTACTTCAAAAGACACGAGGAGGATGCTTGTTTTATACAGTCTATGGGAGGATGTAGCGAGACGCAGTCTTCCTGCAGCCCCATCCCCATTCACAGTATTGGGAAATTAAATCTGACTTTTCGTTTGCGCATGTGCCGTAGACAGTCGTCAACGAGTCCTGTTGAATTTAATAACGATGAGAGTAGACGATTGCTAGTCTTCCGCAGGTGAGAAGCTGACCTGAGATGCTCTGTTTGTCTTCTGGCATCCTGAAATACCACTAGATTTAAAACACAGCCTCCGGGCCACATATTTGCATCAGGAGGGGGAATACAGGCTGCGCTGTTTTTTTGTGTGTGGAGACAAGGGATACTAGAGCAACGTCCTGCAGGATAAGGGCGCGCCTAAACTACCAGATTCATGTGTTGTGATTGATTACCCCCGTGCTTACGAAAATCTTTCATAGATTTAGGAGGTAAGAAAGCTTGAAAAGTGTCTTTGCATTGTGCATTTTGCATGTGATGTGTCAGTCAGGTCTGTGCAGCATCCATTTAGCGCGCTGGATGGGTTTGAGAATGGGAGCAGCCAAAAACGTTGGGTGGAAATATCTGCACTTGCGTCAGCTGGCGGCGGTCCACCGCAGCTAGCCGCTAGCAGCTAGGCTAGCTCGCTAACCTAGCTTAAGGGATGGGCAGCTTGGATGCAAAACACACTGTCAAGCTAACGTTAGAGGAGCAGTTACACAAAAATCACAAATTGTTACCCTGGGCGGACAGCTCTGTATAGACACAACACAAACGTTCTTCACGTGTGTGATATTTTACAACACTCCCCTCGGGTTGTCTCCTCCTTGTTTGTGGTGTATTATGTTAACGTGTGTGTGTCAGCGGCTGTTGGACCGAACAGCCCCGGCACCGCTGCTGAGCTGCCGGGGCAGTGCGGCAGAACACGCTCTAACACTATCGTCCCCACCTTTTCTAACGTTATACTTTACATACTATACGTTACAACGGCTTGGTGGCCATTTTCAAGTGAGAGTCACATCTGGGGGGTAACGTTACTCACCAAAATGTAAATGTGCAAAACGTTACTCTATCGGTCCAGCCGTTACGTTAGCACGCCTTACTAAATTATAATTTTAGTAACCAAAGCTTCCTTAAAGGGTTAACGGCATGGTTTGAAATCACTCGCAAGACAACTGAGTGTCGCTATCATCTTGATATTTCAGTTTGTAGCTTGTTTTAAAGAGGAGGATGAGGGAGGGGGCACGCCGAGCTTTGTGGGAACATCAGCTAACGTTAGCCAGCTACCATTGTTTAACGTTAGCACAGTGCAGCTGTTTCCACCTCCATTGAATAAGATTTTTGGTATATCCAGCATGAACCTTCAAAAAATGTAACGTGCCGGTCTTATGATAAGCTTAGGCTGAGTTGAAGTGATAGTGATTGCATCTTGGGTGGCGTTGTACCCGTTTAGTGTCGTTGTCCAGGCAGACAGTGAAAAAACAGACATAGGAGGTTGCCTATATTTTAATTAAATATCAATCAAATAATAAATTGTCCTTCAGCTAACACTGTTGGACAATAATATACCATTAGTCTGTAAATGCTGAAACAAGGCCTAACACTGAGTGCATTGCTGTCAGTCAGACCACCATCATGATGCTCTTCTGTGTGTTGGGTGGTGATATGGTGTGTAGGGTATAGCAGCATGTTGTTAAATGGCAACAACCAGCCCAAAGCCTGCATGGGCTGAAGGAGCTCATTTTGTCAGATGCACATATGACATGAAGGCAGCTGCTTTTGAATGGAATACTGATATTGGCAGGGGGAACACACTGTTCTGGTTAGCTGTAAACTGTTGGTCCTGTGCTGTTCAGTCATTACGCAGCTACATGATAACTGTTTACAGCTCTGTGGAACATTGTGCTATGAATTAACTATATCCAGGGCACAGTGAGAAATTGATTCATAAGACCACATTGAAATGGTTAATTGCTCTCATATCTCAGATTATGATTATAGTTATAGATGAAAGTGCTTTTTAAGGCCACATACTTTTTACTATTTTTATTTTGGGGATGAAAACCGCACTCACATTTGTCTACATGTTAACCATGTAAGAATCCTAAAGATGCTAAATAAATACATGCATCACAATCTGTACACACCCACACAGTCCTGATGTGAGATCTAATGAGGCCTAATAATTAAAAACACCTGTGTGGGTGTAGGAAGATTTTGTTCCTTTATTAGATCAAAAAGGCAACAATTCATCTGTCCCTTTTTCAAAATCCGTGACTAAATGTGAAGGAGCAGGTGGTTTGGTGTGATGACAGACCTCTGGATAACTGGAGAAAAATCCTGCAGCCTGTAAAACACCTCAGTATGTCGCTTCAGACTGGCGGCTTAATTACCGCCCTGAGACATTATATTTTCCACAAAATTACACAGCAAAGCATGTCACCAAAAGGATGGAAAATCTCCCCCAGGTATCCATTTTTTAGGATTTACAGTAGACAAAGCTAAGACAAGTCAAGTTTGAGGAGAATTCCCCATTGTGTTTGGTTTTCATGTTCTGGCAGCCAATCTATCCAGATCTAACCATTTCCAAAATTGTCAAAATGCCAACAGTGGAGTTTTAAAACAATACTCTTCATGAAAGACTTCTCTTGAGCATTGTGGAGCAGCAGCAGGCCATCTGTGGTGTGCTCGCAGGAGATGTGGTAAAAATAAAACATCAGTGCCGACACTTTTCATAAGCGTGACCTTTTAGCCGCAGTAAACTCTAAAATATGGGGTGTTGTCCACAATGAAGTCTTCCTGCACTAGTTCAGGAAAACGTAGTTCTGTCTTCCCCAATTTCCTGAAATGCCAAGTCTGTCTTCTTACTCCATCAGTTACACAAGAAACTATGTTATTCTTAATTAATTAAACAAACCCCGTAGAAGGATAAAGAAGAAAATGGCTTGCTTTTGAAATGGCGAGAAAAGTTGGCAAATTGTGATTTCTCTGCTCTATAATAGAAGCTGCTCAGCTGCAGATTTGTGTATCTCATTTAATTTTATGAAGCGTCATCAGGTAGCCTAAATATTAATGACCACTAAAATTTAAAATGTGTTGTCTCATCTTGTTACAGTAAATTGAGGGCAGGTGCCCTCCAGTTTAAACAACATAAATAGGCTGTAAAGTGTTGAAATGAACAGTACGTGGATTTTATTTTAGGAAGCAAAGCAAAATTTCTCCAAAATATACCAAAACCCAGCTGAGTATGTTTGTTGTATATTGTGAACTTCTCTTGTGTTTTCATAATGTTGTTGTTAATGGCAGACCTGTACAGCCTGTGGGAAGTGTACATTTTTCTCATTATATGTTACTTTAAAATGTTGAATCATTTGATGTCTGGTTGAATCTTGGTCTCACACACATCTGAAAAATGACACAGAGATAAGGAGGCAAAACACAGCTGGAGGGGAAAAATGTGTCTCATGCACAGTTTACCTCCAGTAGGTATGCACGGGAACAAACTCAGTCACAGTTAATAAGCATAATCTCAGATCAGACAGACTGCTGGCAGTAAACCAAACTAGCCCTAGGGCTTCCTCAGCATGCTCAGTGATCATCATTTTCTTCTTTTCAGTGGGAAAATAGCCACTTTCTTCAGTATTTATATGTTTTATTGTCTATTAGAATTACTTTTAATTAGGCACATTTCTGGGCAAAACACTCACAGTTACTAACCCGGACTCACTGCCCTGTTATTTCTCCCTGCAGATATGTTGCGGCGAGTTGTGCGACAGAGCAAGTTCCGTCATGTTTTCGGTCAGGCCGTGAGGAACGACCAGTGCTACGATGACATCCGTGTGTCCAGGGTCACATGGGACAGCTCCTTCTGTGCCGTCAACCCCAAATTTGTTGCTATCATCATAGACGCCAGCGGGGGAGGAGCCTTTCTTGTCCTTCCTCTACAAAAGGTAGAGTGACACTCTGTAGTCAGGGCTTTTAAAAAGATCTTTTGAAGGTCAATTACAGAGGAGCTGTGAGGTTAGCATGAAGTCAAAAAATATAGAATTTTAATTTTTTTAGATTTCAGTTGAGCTAACATGTATAAGTCCTAGTAGCATGATTCAAAGCAGTACTCTTCCGGTCCTCAAGGGCTGGTGTTTTGCAGGTTCTGCTGTGAAATCAGAAATTGAAATTCTACACATAGGAACTTTAACTGTCAGGTAGGAATAAAAAGCTGTGTGACACTGGCAATGGATGGCCAAAATTGGACACAGAGGGTGTAAAGCATTCCCAGAGATACAAGGGTTGTACTGTAACGGTGCACTGTATCATAACATAGCATTCAGAGCATGTAGCAAATCAATCCTATAGGCTTGTTCTTTGTCAGCAGACCTGAGGCTCATATCTATAGCAAAAACCATAGATAATCAATGTTTAAATCGACCTGATAGTAAAGGCACCCAATGTGTATTCTGTTACAGTAGGCTTATTGAACACAATACTCACTGAGGGGATGGGTGCTGTGCTGTTTTCACTGCCACCGGGTTAACTGATGTATCTTTACTGTATAATGTCCTGCCTCTGAAGAAGCTGCTATAATTTTGGGATGTTCAGGTAGAAGTCACATATGTCCATCCACGATGACAACGGATAAGGTCACAACTACAGTAAAAATGTGCTTAATGTGTCCTCGCATTAACTGTTCTTATAACATGATTTGGGGTCATAATTGTGACACTAGGCCATCTGCTTGGTTTGTGGGTTCAGTGGGGGTTTGCTGTTTAATCTCAAAGTTCACGGTCGACCACCACAATTGAATTCAATCTTGGGGAAATAATGGTTGACATGTCTGGTCCTCTTTTTGCTGGTTTTACAGAGTTAGTTGATGTTTGACATTAAATAAATAACTTTCTGTTGACTTTCGAGTGTAATTTTTAAAACGTATAATTTATTGTGTGTGTTTGCTTTGTAGCCCAACATGTGATATGTGATAAAGTTGCAACGCAATGGTCATAGAAGAGTCAGTAACTGTCGTGTAGACATGCAAAGGACTAAATGTAACGTCTACAGAACAGCCCTGTACCTGCTGTAGCCCTGCTCGTCAGTCATTTTCATATCTCTGACAGATATCAGCTCACAGAGCGTTATGGCTCCTCGGCAGCTCAAACTCTTTAACCGCTTTGTAATGTAGTTGTCTTATGTCTCCTAGTCTGGCCGTATAGACAAGGTCTACCCTACAGTATGTGGCCACACAGGCCCCGTGTTGGATATCGACTGGTGTCCTCATAATGACCTCGTCATTGCTAGCGGCTCGGAGGACTGCACGGTCATGGTAAGGACATGGTTAATCTCTAATTAATTAATCTCTAAATGGATCACATAAGCTTTGTTAATAGGTTTTGGGGGTTTTCTTGTATGAATAATAATGGTGCTACTATTGAATCTACTCTAGATTACTGAAAAGCTTAAAAATGTTATTAATTCCTAGAGTTGTGGGGGTTTTTTTCAGTTTTTGTTTGTATGAATAAATCAACGCTAATACATTTAGTAAAATGTCTTAAACTTTTTGTAGCATATGATGGCAAAATAACTAATAATACAACATAATATACTACTGTTACCTTTTCAAAGCTTCTAATGTAAAAAAGTGTTCAATTTATTAATTTATATATATTATTAATTCAATTTATTTTCAGTACTTTTTGTGTGTTTGTGAGCGTCTTTCAGTAAGAGTGCTGTTTTCCTGTCTTTGGCAGAGATTATTATACAATTTTGGCTACATTGAGTTTTCCTGTGGTTGTATAACACTGTCAAACTTAATATGTCAAGTAAGACAAAGTAATAGGGGCATCTGTGGCTTAGGAGGTAGAGTGGTCTGCATGTCAAAGTGTCCTCTGAAATTTCTCCTGATGGCTGTGCCGTTGGTGTGTGAGAGTGTGTGAATGATTACTTTCGGTTTCTCATGAACAGTTAGCCTCTGCCATCAGTGTATTAATGTGTGTTATTGGGTGAATGTGACACGTAGTGTAAAGCGCATTGATCAGAAGTGCTCGGATGTCTAGAAAGGCGCTATACAGGCACAGTCCATTTACCATAATACTGTCTGTGTTGTTGTACATAATATGAATATATATATGTAATTTTAGTGGACAGATTTTCTCCCTGTAGCTCCTAATTTTATGTGTGGTATGTAACTGTTTTTTTGTTTTTTCTGATTCAGGTTTGGCAGATCCCTGAGAACGGACTTGAGACTCCCCTTTCAGAGCCTGTGGTCGTGTTAGAGGGCCACTCCAAGCGGGTCGGCATTGTGTCCTGGCATCCCACCGCTCGCAACGTTCTCCTCAGTGCAGGTAACCTTTGACTGAGTCCTGTGGTAAACCCGGTGTCCTCAAAGTGAAATAATGCTGTCTATTTGGCCATTTGTCCACTGTGCACAGCTGAAGTTCAAATATGACCCCTTATCTCACGGATTGCCTTCTGTCGCGTAGCTTTGGTGTAATGTAAAGTGCTCAAAATAAACTTGGACACAGAGGACTGTGTAGTCAGGCTGTGCTGCATGTGTCCATTTTAGGGTGTGACAACCAGATTATCATTTGGAATGTGGGCACGGGAGAGGCCATGATCAACCTGGAGGACATGCACCCTGATGTTATATTTAGTGTCAGCTGGAGCCGCAATGGCAGCCTACTGTGCACCGCCTGCAAGGACAAGAAGGTCCGTGTCATCGACCCCCGTAAACAAAAGGTTGTTGCGGTAAGTGGAAACGCTGCAGGGGATTTGGAGCTCGTTTGCTTCTCACATGGAATAATCTTTCCCAGAATCAGCCACCAAACTGTTGACTCAAAGCCTACTAACATGGCTGCCCAATCTGACACATGGCTGTGTTTCTGTTTTCAGGAGAAGGACAAAGCACATGAAGGAGCTCGACCAATGAGAGCAATCTTTTTAGCAGACGGAAACATTTTCACCACTGGATTCAGCCGCATGAGCGAGCGCCAGTTAGCCCTGTGGAAAACTGTACGTCACTGGAGTGAATAACATTCAACCCATAACACACTGATGCATACCCATAGACACTGCACTTTATATGACACTTAGAGCTGTAGAACCTTGCTTTGTGCAGCTTCCTATCAAGGATATAAGTGCAAATATTGTCTCCCGTGCTGATTGAATGTGAAATGAAGAATTCTTTTCCTATCAAATTTTTATACCTCAGCTCCAGTTGAGGGCAACACCAACACATTAATTTCACATGTCCAGATCTAATTAACAGGGGTCATTTTTTATGTATTGGCAGAGTATGATTTTGTTTTGGTTTATTATTGGCTATAGGTGAGATAAGTGTGATGTATTGAGCACAGGTGCAGCAGAGATTACAGGCAATAAATGATATAACGTCACAATTTAGCATCACTCCAAATACTTAATTTTGTGTTTCCAGGAAAACATGGATGAGCCAATATGTGTTCAAGAGATGGACTCCAGTAATGGAGTTCTGCTGCCCTTCTATGACCCCGACACCAACATAGTCTACCTGTGTGGAAAGGTGAGCAGGATTGTAAAGAAATTCCGCTATTGTTTCCCATTTCTGATAATACAGTTCACAAACTGACGTTGAGCTGCAACTGTGTGTCCTCAGGGTGACAGCAGCATTCGGTACTTTGAGATCACTGATGAGGCACCGTTTGTTCACTACCTCAACACCTTTTCCACGAAGGAGCCCCAGAGAGGCATGGGATACATGCCCAAAAGAGGTCTGGATGTCAACAAATGTGAAATTGCAAGGTATTATGTTATATTTTTTTAAACTTTTGTTCATTTAATTTGTGCTCCTGTGCATTAGTATAAGGCTCATCATCTTTGATTATTACAGAATTTGTCTGAAAAAGACCCCAATTTTTCATTTTAAACCAATTTCACCTAGGTTTTAATGTTGAATTTAATCTCCACACAACTAAAAGTTGCTGCAAGGGGACCTCACTAGGGCTGCAACAAACAATTGTTTTCTTTATCAATTAATCTACAGATTTTTTTCGTCAATTAATTGTTTGGTGTATAAAATGTCAGGAAAGTTTGAAAAATGCCAATCACAGTTTAAGTTTTTACGATCTTGTTTTCATTACTTTTAAAAATATTTTATTTAAACAAACTAATGAGCCATAGTAATATGTACATTTATATAAAGACTGAATTGCTAATGTATTCCTTTTTTTGATAAATACTCTGACACTGGTCTGTTTTTTTTTATTTTACATTTTGCAGTTAACAGGTTTGCTGTGTATGATCTTAATTATATTATATGAAACCTCTCTGTAGGTTTTACAAATTACACGAGAGAAAATGTGAACCAATCATCATGACAGTCCCGCGCAAAGTGAGTCTGCGTTTGTATGAAGTGATAAATATGCTGCTGTTTTATAGACCATCCGCACCTTACAGCATTCTCCTCATGACATTTCCTGTATCCTCTCCACCAGTCGGATCTGTTCCAGGACGACCTGTACCCCGACACAGCCGGGCCTGATCCCGCCCTGGAGGCAGAGGAGTGGTTCACAGGGAAGAACGGAGGCCCCATCCTGATCTCACTCAAAGATGGATACGTCTCCACGAAGAACCGAGATCTGAAAGTGGTCAAGACGAACGTCTTGGAGACCAAGCCAGCCTCAAAAGCAGAAAACATCCCGACTGTCCAGAAGCGTGTTTTTCCTCAGCCCTCAGTAGTGAGTATCCCAGCATATTTCATTGCTCAAAATGATTTTTTCCTTTTAATTATGGATTTTATTTTTGTTTCTCTAAGAAAAAAAGTGCACTTTTCAAACACGCAAACAGAATTTGTTGCTGACGTTTGGACTCCCCCATTCATAGTAATTAGTATGGTTGGAACAATTCACAAAAGTTATGGATCAGCACATACTTTGTTATTGGGGTCACGATTCAGTGGAGCAGCAAGGGAAAATTTTAACTGCTAGAGGGCTTTATTGCCTGTGAAATCCCTGCTCATTTTGAGGTTGATAAGATGCACACAAAGTCTCCTGTGAACAGTTCTGGAAATGATTAGCAGCCTTGTAAGAGTTAAATGAGACCTTGGTCGAACTAACTTTCCTTACGCTTTTGACCAGAAAATGGAAGATAAACTGGAAGAGGTACTTCGAGAGTTCAAGTCACTCAGGGACCGTGTCATTCTCCAAGACCGTCGAATCGCCAGACTGGAAGAGCAGGTTGCCAAGGTTGCCATGTAAAGGCACAGCCCCTTCCCACGACCGTCCGTAGTTTTGGAGAGTGTCGAGTGGACGGGGTCGGCCACAGCCAAATTCTCGAGATTCGGCTTCATTGAGCTTGGCGTCATCCCTGCGATGAGACCAAGCCTACATTCCAATAAGTCTCCAGTTTCACACTTTCGCCCCGACACACACACAGAAACGGAAAAACTCTTGCAGCTCACGTATACATTTGAAGAAAAGACATTTTTGTTGAAGGAAAAGTCTTAACTCTTTTTTGTTTTGTTTTCAAATTTGTGGTAAAACATTCTTATGTGAAGTTTGTACTTACTACTCAAAAACTGTATGTAGCATCAGTATTTCCATTGTTACTTTTTGTGTTGCCAAATATGAGTCGTGTGTTTTTTCATGCACTGCTTTTACATTGACTTTCTCTCCTGTTATACATTCCAGTGAAAACCTAGTAGATTGATTTAGTCAAGCTGGATTTTTTTTTAACAATAGCTGTTGAACTTTTTTCCTCCCACCAATTTGCTCATTCATAACCATCAGATTTATGAATGTGAAAGAATTCCTGAATTCTTAAATTTGTTTCCGTTCTTCTGGGCTTCAAATTTAACATTAGGGTTTTACTGGGGGGGAGGGTTGCATATCTCTGGTGTAAATGTTGTGCAAATGTAGTGGTGCCTCTTGTCACTGTTAAGGGTCAAACTAAAGTCGCCCTCACTGGTGCGTATTTGGTGTTGGGAAGGGACCACTCACCCAGCTCTTGTTTCACTGAACCTCTGACAAACAGTTCTGTGCACAAAATAAAGATTTTACACATGAATACTTCCTTTTTCCTTTTCTTTATACATTTTTTGCACTTTTATCAATTTATATTCCTGCAGGTCGAGTGTGGCTCACAGTGTGTTAGTGGGAGCGTTACATTTACTCAATTTCACTTCTGCCCTCAGATAGGGATTTGAAATGTCAGCCAGTGATAAAAACCCCTCTGGTATCTGCTGGAGACATAGGCTACTGTACATCTGAGGAGCACTTTCTATCAGTCAGCATGTGGTGCCAAGAAAAAGATTGGATGAGTGCTGAACAGCGGTGGAATGTAAATACCTTTATTCTAACCCCCGAATACTTTCTGGGTTGGTAGTTATGGATGGATAAAGAAGAAGGTACCAGAAGGAGGGCACCAGTTGTACTTAGGCCAAACATGAAAGCACTCAGTCTAAATCGTCAACTATTTTCTTCATTAATCACCTAATCTATAAAAAAAGAAAATATTGAGTTTCCAGAGCCCAAGTTGATGTCTTCCAATAGCTTGACAGGACCAAAAGCCATAGACACTGCAGTTAATGTAGGAGTATCATAGAAGACTTTAAAAAACAGCAGATACTTACACTGGAGAAGCTGGAACCAGTGAATTTGGGGGATAACAGTTAATCGATGAATGAAAATTCCTGTTGCTTAATTTTGTCAACAGACTAATTGATGGGGTGGAACAGTGGTGCAGTCACCTCACAGCAAGACGGTCTTGGGTTTGAACCTTGGTCGTCCCAGGCCCTTTATGTGTGGAGTTTGTATGTTCTCCCCGTGTCTGGGTGGGTTCTCTCCAGGTGCTCCCACTTCTTCCAACCGTCCAGACATGCAGGTTAATTGGTGATTGCCCTTATTTGGCTTCAGCCCTACTGTACACAGGATAAGCGGTTGACGATGAATGAGACTAATCAATAACTCCGAAAGCCTAAAAATCCTCCTTGATTAGCTGTCACTTCTTTTTCTGCTTGATGGTGATGCTAAAGCAGCAGTCATCAGGTCATTAAAACAAGGCCCTCTGCTGTAACAATGTTTTATTTAGTGTGAGGTCTATTTCAGTTTACATTTAATGGAAGTATCTAACAAGTGCTTTATTGTAAAGGGTATCAAGCCAAGTAGGTTGAAAAGAACTGGTCTTAATAATGATAAATGCCACCTTTTGTAGGAGGTGACTTGTTTGTCTACACCAATCAGCCACTTCCTCATAAAATCAGGCAATCAATACAAACCATTCATTCACCTTTCCAGTACAAAAGATTAGCTAAGCTTATGACTCTCTTTATGGTAACAATACTATATCATTCGAGGAAATAGCATAAACACAACATTTGACCCCACAATAGATTAAAATAACAATGAAATTTATAGAAACATAGACCAAGGGAAAAAGGTCACCATAAATGTAAATATGCCGTTAACTGATCCGTAACTTTAACACAGAATTCCAGAAACTCTGGAATACATAAACACTGACCAGGGAGGTTGCACATGTACATTTTTGGTAGTCACCCTGTGTAAACGCTCTATGTACAAATTACAACTGTGTTATATTAGCATGTTTTTTTTAGTGTAGCATCCCAGCATTTTATGAGTTTTTAGAGATGTGCCCCATTCATGCAGATTCCAACTTAAAATCATCCTGGTAATTGTTTTTTTATTAGGCCTCTTTAAAATCCTATTTGATTGCAGAGCACCGCAGCGCATTCGCGCAACACGTCCTCTCACTCGTCCCTCGCTCTCTCCCTCTTCCTCATGAACACAGCTGCACAAATCTGTCCAACATAACGCTGTCAATGTCAGAGACCCAGCTTAAAAAAAGTTATTAGCAAGCATGTAAGGAGCATAGCTAATAAGGAGAGCTAAGTTAATATTAGAATACAGCTGGGTTTTCAGTAGTCAATATCTACTAAACGCGCACACGCTCCCCCTCCCTGTCCCAGTGCGTCACATTTACACCGTCATTCTGTGGGAAACACAGCAGTATATATGTTTCTTTAGTATAAGAGAAGATGTTCCTTTATTAACCCCCCGTAGGGAAAATTCACATTGGCACAGCAGCACAGAGGAATATAAAAGAAGAAGAAAATACGATACATGTAGAATTAGTTACCATTGTAGGTAAAAGTATAAAAATATACATGTACATACACTATAACAACAACAATAACAACTATTATGTACAATGTATACATTATATATACACACACACACACACACACACTTAGGCCCCGTTTATGCAGGCACTTAGTTTATGTTGAAAAATTTATTTCTCAGCTAAATCTGGCAATGAAGTTAATTTGAGACAACACATGTCAGTACTTCCTTTAGAGCAGACATTGAAAGTTACTTAGGCCCCATTCATGCAGGCTCCAAGTAACATTTACAATGTTGTCCAAAGAGAGTTAGGCTTGGTACATTTTCCATGTTCTAGGTCTGATAACTACAAAGAAAGTGTTGGCCACATTCTGACATACACAGAAAAACACACTGCACACACACACACACACACACACAGAAATGACCACCTTTCCCTTAATCTCCATAAAAAGGAGTTTTCTGTGGACCACCTTACCTTCTTTAATTTGATCTGTCTCCCACCTTGCTATATGATTTAATGTAATTTTGCAGTACCACGCAGAAGCCATCTTTACCAGAACGTGGACATGGTTAGCTTCAACACACATGTCGAACATGTGGCTGTGCAGCTGTGGGAAGAGATTTTTCTCAAAACAATCAGAAAGAACCTGGGTGACAATGGCTGCTGTTGATCCCCTCCCCTGTGGAGCCTTTCCTTCATTGGTTTGTAGAAGCCGCTGAAAGCATCTTTCTGTAACTTGGTAAACTGCAGTGATACCCAGTGATGGTTTCTGTAGGCCACCTCTGTCCTTCAAAGCCAAGAATCGCTGCACCAAGTCATCTGTGGTCAGTGCTTGTGAGCAAGTCATGCAAGTAACCTTCTTTTTAATCTTTCTGACAATGAAGCCTGTGATGTAAGAGATTGCTGCTTCCTTGTCACCCTCGGGCACAAGCACTTAAACAGGCTCTATATCCAATCGGCGTGCGATGTTCACAGCCGCAGGTGTTGAGTCAAGGATGGGTGTGTTGTCACGAGGAAGACAGTTGCCGCTCAGAACTGCTCTACATTGGGGTTGTTATAACCTCCACGTGCTGACTGCAGAGAGAAACAACTGCAAGTGGTCCTGACTGAGTTTCTAGGTCAGGAGGTAGCAGCATGGAGCAGCTGGCTGCTCTACCAGGTCTTTATAGATGCCCATCTCACTTCTGTCACAAGCAATGAAACCATAGATGAGTGTCTTTTTGTGTGTGGAATTCACATGTACAAGTGTGTTGTCTTTAGTCTCCTCGGCTCTTCAAACTCAGCCTTTTGCAAGCAACACATAGCTTATGCTCTACTTCACGAGCTTTCCTTTCAAGTGTTTTTGGAGACTCTGCAATATTGTAGCAATGATCACACAAAAAGCTAGGCAGCTGTTTGCTGACATGGTGTAAGAATCATCAAGAAGTCATTTTCCACAGATATTTTTGTTGAACGCTGCTACCCAAATCAACATCGTCACACACATTCACCATCAGAGCAATGTCATCATGAACGACATCTTGAGCAACAAAGGCCTGTTCAGGTGTGTCTTCCACCATCATGACATTGCTATGATTGGCAGCAAGACTGTTTGCACCCCTCCCATTCATAGTTTTCAGTCACGTGACATGCGCGGTGACCTGGAGGGCAAAACAACCGTCCAACACGGCGACTCCCCCTTAGAGACGCCTCAAAAGCAGTCAGATTTTATTTGGATCACCTTTCAACTTAAGAAAAGGAAAGATATGAACACAAACTGCACGTGTTGGGCATATCTGATCTATATACCGTTACAGCATCCGCTGCCACATTTCTACCGTTAAAAACCGCCAGCTCCCTGCTGCCGCTTGACTGCGCTAATGTTTACTTTTACCTTCTGGGGAATCCCTCACCTAACACAGCCCAGGCTTGTCTCTTCCTCGATAAGTAAATCCGAAAGCACAACAACCATCAAGCATTTTGGTAACGCAAAGAGTAACAAACCCAAAGTAACAGTGTATCACTTGCATATTGGTTGGCAGGCAGCGGAAAATAAAGTTTTTTTGGCCTCCAAGGGAGCGTTTTCCTTGGAATATGACGTCACGTAAAAACTATGAATTGTCTACATGTGCAACCTCCTCTATACTATCTGTACTATTTACAGCAGAAATAATGATGCCACTTACCATCTCATTAGTACTTACCAAGCCTCCCTCCTTTTGGCTGTTCTTTGCCCTTTGAGAAAGAGAAAATGGTAGGCACACCGGTCAGTGTCCTTCAGGCAAGTCCTTCCCTAATAACAATTACAAGAAACATAAATTGCAGAGTAAATCACTTTTTATTCATAAAAGAGGTTTTTGTATTTGTGTTTGATTAATCTAATGACTAGTATAAATGTCCATCCACATTTTTTTCCACATTATTGCTATTAAAAGAAAATAATTGTTCCAAAGGCTATCATGCTGTGTGTTTTTCACAGAGAGAATTCTTTGAGCAATTGTCACTATCATAGGGGTCTTTGCATTAAATGCACTGAAATGTGAGTTGGAAAAAAGTGGTTATGTTGCATTATTGGTAAAATCTTCATTTGGTTTTTGGCATCAGGAGAACACTGAACTTGGCTGGTGTGTCAGTAATTTCTCCTTAGCAGTGACCTAATCAAGTATTTAGTAATGTAATTTATATTAATATATGATGGTCAATACTTAATCACTTTAAACAATAAATTGTTCTTTGTAAAGTATGAAACAAGGTCTATGTACCCTGGAGTCAGTGGTGAAGTGATGAATCTCAAAGTGTTCACTGCACAGACGAGAGGTCTTGCTGAGAGTCCAGTTTTGACTTTTCAGATTGAGCATCCACTGGTCTAGCCTGTTGAGATAACCTAGAGGAAAGCTGTACACAGACGAGTAGACATATATGGGTCAGGTTACATCCTTAAG